GGAAAAACCATTATCGATGGAGTAGTAATCGATATGGGAAATTGATGGGATCACTTCTGAAAGCTAATAAATAAATATACTTTAAACTGGTAAAGTTGGTTTCAGTTTAAAAGCAACTTCTAGGCAATGGTTACCACAAAATGCACTTTTTTAACCCATAAATTTACTATACCAACTCTAATCTGAAAGTGAAAAAACTCTACAAATTCCAAGTTATATTCTCAAAAAATCTGCATATTAATGCAGACCAATTTTGTGAGTTTCCGAAAGTCTAGCATGAAGGTGACCCAAATCTGAAAGAATTCCGAATCCAAATCGTTATTAATCCCTTAATAAACTGAGCCTCTTGAATAAATATGTACTTCACAAACACCGAATGAGCTGGTATGAAACCCCAGAAAAACAATAACATTATCATAATTTCCACAATATTAAAACCATTTTTTTTGCTCGTTAGACTTTACTATTTTCTTAGGTCAGTGCGAAAACGATAACATATTCTTTTACAATCCCCGCCTCGCCTCGTCGAATCGTAAACAGTTCATTTCCACTTAGCCCACACTTGATACGGACTATACCCAGCGCTCCATATATATTTTTTCTAGCCCCTAAGCAACATCTGTAGCACCCGCCTATAAAGTAGAGTCACACATAAAAATGGAGGACCAAAAAGTGGGAAATCAGAGCAAAATGTTTACGATTTCATGACCATGTTTCTTGATCTCGTTACAGTTGTGATCAAAATTATAGTGGTGTTTTTGAATGTTAAAAAAAATTTTATGATAATTATATAATTGTGATATATAATTTCGATGGATTATAACCTTGTAAATATTTTCTAGAATATTTTCCTGGCTTTTTTTTTAAATTATAACTATTATTTCAACCATAGCTGTATGTTAAGTAGGCTCTCTCTTATTTTTTCGGTGGTGTTAGGGTGAGGAAAAGTCTGGATAAACCCTCATAAAACACACGGCAAAAAAGTGCGGGGGGCTGTGGGCAAATCCTCTCGACTTTAGTTTGCTGACGATGTGTTTACTGCTTTTCACTTTCCTTGCAGATTTTCGCTTACCTTTCTTTTGGAGTTGCGAAAGTTCGTAAGTCAAAAATGGTTCAGGCGAACTCCAGATGATAAATGCAATTTGTATAAGTGTCAAGCAGCTGGCAGGGAACCTGGGGGCCACTTCTCTATTACTTCATTTAAATCGGAGAAAAACATTAGACCAAAGTCATAAAACATGGGGAAAACGTAGGCGTCCGGTAGGAAATAAAAATGTAAATGTAACCGAAGGGCAGCAAATGAAATTATAACAGGCCGCAGTGGGGTTCCTGTTTTTTTTTTTTGGTTTTTTTTTTCGAGGCTGGGAAATTCCCAGAGAGGCCCATTGAAAGTTTCCCCATCCAGAAACAGAAAAAGAAAATATAGCCAACTAAATAAAATGCGAGGGGCTATAAAATTGAGTGCAGTTGCCGAAACAAGAGCAATAAGAAATCGCCAACGAAAATGAAAATGAAAATGAAAATGTTTGCCAAGCACGAAACAACAGCCCCATCCAACCATCCACATAGAACATTTTCGACCGCAATGCTGGCAAATGTTTGGGCCATAAAGAGCAATCCGGCTGAACGGGAATCTAAATCAAGAAAATCAAGAAAACCAACGACAAAGAGTCGCAAATGAAAACGAAAAGTAAAAGTGAAATACATGCACATAATTTGAATGGAACCCTCCTCTTGATTTTCCGATTTCACGACGAAGGTCAAAAGAAAATTTGGCTTTGGTTTAACCAATTAGAAACTGCGGTCGACTGAGGTTGTGGTCATGTGCTGGGCTTTGGGATTGGGAATCGAATTGATTCGGGGCTTAATCAACTAAATAAATGGGTAGCAAGTTTACAAACAATTAAATTGGCAAAAGAAAAATACTGTTGATGGAAAATAAATGAAAACATTTTTACAAAGGCATATAGATATTTTTAAAATATTATTTTAATGAATGTTATGCTCCCAAGAAGTCTGTATATTTATTTATTTATGTAAAGCTAACTTAGAGTTAAGCTACTGTATAAATACCTATACCTTTACCTATTTCTGAAGAATATATTTCGTTGCCTATTTTTTGATTGGCTTTTAGATATTTTTAAAATATTATTTTAATGTATGTTATGTTACCAAAAAGTCTTTATATTTAAATTTCTGTATCGTACGTTACCTATTTTCAAAATATTATTTTGCTGAATTTTATGTTCTCAAAAATTACATCTTTCTTTCTATATTTTTATTCCTTGAGTATATATTATGTTCCCCTATTTTCTGATTGGCTTTAAGCGGAAAATTCAACTTCTTGCGAAGAACTTAGACCATTGAAGACCCTCGGGCCAAAAAGGGGAGACAAATAATAGCTGTAGATTAATAATGAAAATAATATTATTATTTTTGTTTGCTGCACATTTCTCTTGCTGGCACTCAAATGACCGCATCAGCTCGGCAGATGCACCCTCGCCCCGGCAATTTTCCTATATAATTTCCTCCCCCCAGCCCCCCCGCCGCTGGGACAATTTTCCACGACCCCCGCCCTTTTGAGCGACCATCGACGCATTTTGTTTGCTGTGGATGCCAAAAGGACTTGGCGGCGTCAAATTTATGGCTCTTGACTCTCGACTCTTGGCATTCCAGTGCGCGCCGAATGCTGAATGCAGTATGCACCATTGTCAATAAAGTCCATCCGCCCAGCACTTTACCCCATTCGCTTTAAGAACGCTCCGCAGTTTTTGGCGGGCGGGCGAAATAAATTTTGAAGTCAGCCAGAAGTGCATAAAATCAAACACAATAAGCGAAGGGACCGCAAATCATTTTGAAGGATATCCCAGTATCCTTGGACCCTTCTCTAATTAGTTTACAAGAAAAGGACGAGGAAGACGGGCGGGCAAGTGGAACGGAAAACAAATCAATGACAGATGATGAGTGGTCGCGACAAGCATTCAAGGGTGGTACACTCGAAAAAATGTGTTTTCGTTTGCCAATTTTAAGCCATATAATTATAATTAATAGTTTATTACTGTTTCAATCTTTTAAAAATAAAATTAAATTTTTAATTTTACAAATAAGCTTTATATACATAAATAAATTTTAAAAAAAGTTTCTGATAATTTTGGATTATAAATAAATCAATAATTTGTTTTTCTTTTAAGCAACTTAATATTATTTATTTGATAATGACAATATTTTAGATCTACAGCATCAAAGAATCCTTTGTTTTTCGAGTGCAATAAAGGGGTTACCAAGCCTCCACCCATAAATATGTATTTGTGTATTCCCCCGTTTGTTCGGTTTATGTCACAGACTCAAAGTGCATTCAAAATAAAGTGTGCAAGGCAACCTTTTTGTGGCCCCCGGTTTTCAGCTGGTTTTTGCTTATGTTTTCCCCGAGTTTGACTGTTTTGCAAATGGGAAATCATAAAGGGAATACAAGTTAGTGACAAAAAGGCGGGAATTTCAGAATATTTTAAATTAATGTAACAACAAAAAGTAAATATCTGTAGATAACATTTTTGCCATTTGGTAAAGGTATGTTCCAAAAAAAATAATCTATCTTAACTATTCTCCTTTTTAACTATATATCCTTTATATCAATGGCTAAACACTTAAAAATAAATTGTAAGCAATTTACTCTTGTTTACAGGTCGTATGAGTAATTTTATGACAAGCTTTCAAAAAAATAATAATATTTTCTAAAATTTGACACAGATTGAACTATTTTCAAAAAATCAAATATTTTAACAACATTATCTTACGATTCCACGAGCTTACACAGAAACAAATTATTCGGTTTTCAAATTTCCATACATTTTCTATGAAAAGCCATAAAAAGTTTGTTCAACAACAATAATTTTATGTTATTGTTTTGATGACTGCACTTTTTAAAGGATAAAGGACGCAAAATATGAATTTTTTCTCACCTTTGGCAGTTGTGTTTTGTGAATTTTCACAAGAATTTTAGTCTGTAAGTATTTATTTTTTGCTTGGTTTTTCTAACGCTTCTCACATTCAAAACACTCTCAAACCAAAATAAAATAATTTTTAAATTTCCCGATCCGTCACTCGACGATTTCGAAAGTTTAACCGTTTCGCTGTTGACCCGCTAACTTCGGCCTCTGTCCGCTGGCAAGCGAACGCGTCGAATGCTGAACTGCTACTTGTTGGCGTTCCGTCGGCCTCTGAAAACGAAGCGGAGATGCTAGGGCAATGCTCAAAAAAAAGCAAAGGAAAAAAGGAAAACAACACAGATACGTACGCACACTGGCACGAGCACTTTTCCGCCACACCCGCCCCCTCGGAAAGTTCATTTTCCGATTCATTTTGGCGAATTCGCTGCACTTCCAAATCGTCTGTTGGGTATTCGCAAGCTTCGAGCTTTTTTAAAGGCTTTTCCGGCAGAGCTTGGCGCTCGCTGCAAAGGAAAAGCCGGCTTAAATGCTCCCATATGAGAGCGGTGTCCCGACAAGGAGAGAGCTTAACTGGAACTTTTGGCGCCAGCTTTGATTTGACATAGAAATTGAAAATTTTTTGACCGTAACAACGAAAATATTGATCCAAATATGGATTGACATACCTTTCTGAACTCGTTATTAAATTTCCAATCGATTGGCGTTTAAACCTACACATTTTATTTTTTTGTAATTTTTTGTAAAAAATCATGATGTACCCCTTATAAAAAAAATAAAAATTGGGTAAAATTTTATTTTTTCAAAATCACACGGAAAGTGTCATGGATTTTTTTTTTATTTTGTTATCTGTTCAAAACAGTACGTATTTTTTGTGCAGGACCATTTTTGGCCAAGTTACAGCAAAAAAACAAACAGAAAAAAATCAAATTTGTACCAAAAACCCAGGTACCAATTTTTCACAAAAAAATATATTCAAAATGAGAAAAATAATTTTTTTGCTCCCTGTTACCCCAATTTTTATTTTACAAAATATATATACGAATCATAAATAAAGAAGTGTGAAACTCAAAGCCATTTTCAATAGCGTCCGTTAGTGCCTGCCTGCCTATGGATTTCGCGAACCTGTGCTGGAATCCTTCGCAGCTCCTCCATGACTTCCCATCCGTTTCTCCTGATATTTAGATACATATGCTGAATTTGCAATGTCAGCGGATCCAAAATTTGGGTCTGGATTATATCTTCGGCACTGAGACGGAAGTCCATGTTATCGGAACTTGGTTCTTTTGGCAGCGATTTTTCGGAAGATTGGCGTTCCCTTGACTGTGGCTCGGGATCTCTAGCTATTCGAACGGTTTCTTCGCCAGATGATGATCCCGATGAGTCCGCCTTTCTAGCCTTACGCTTCATTTCCTCGAGAGCCTCTTGCTCTTCAATCTGGCGACGAACTGCTGCCCTGAGATCATCGCCAGTCCTTGTAACACGAACGCTTTGAGATTTGGAATGCGCAGAAAGCTTAGCGCTTTCATAATACCCATGGTCATTTGGAGATGTCTTATTTGGACTCTTTGAGGATTGTTTACGAGGCAAACTCTTGCAGATACGACACTCCATTTCATCCTCTTCTTCAGTTTCCGACTGCGGCAGTTGAAGATCGGGAATCGATGGATAATCGAAATACTGTGACTGTCTGGAACTCCTAGGATTCACATCCTTTTGCTTCGAAAGCTTGCGATAAGTCTATGGGGTAATTATATTAATAACTTTAACTCCTTTGCTAAAGAATTTGCGGATTTGAGATGCATGAATTGGAAAAAGAAACGGAAAAATACTTAAGAATTCGCGTTTCATTTAACAATTTCTAAACTTGGCCTATTTACCAGTCCAGGTTCTCCCAGGGTATCATAGGCGCGGTGTGTTTTAAATAAGGGTGAATCCAGCCCAAGAAGGATATACTGTCCAACATTAAACGGACATGTACGATCTTGACATGGGCATAGGACTTCATCATAAATCTTATCCTGCGGTTCCTGGGTTGGATAACGATCCTGATGCGGGCCAAACACTTCCTCGTATTGCTCATCCTGCGGCTCCTGAAACGGGCCAAACAAATCCTCATAAGGCTTATCCTGCGCTTTCCGGGTTGTATAACGATCTTGGTAAGGGCTAAACCCTTCTTCAGTATACTTATCCTGCGATTTCCGGGTTGCATAACGATCTTGGCAAGGGCCCAAAACCTCCTCGTAATACTCATCCTGCGATTTCCGGTACACATAACTATCTTGGCAAGGGCCTAAAACTTCCTCGTAATACTTATCCTGCGGTTTCCCGGTTGTATAACGATCTTGGCAAGGACTTAACTCGTCATAACGCGTATCCTGCGGTTTCCCGGTTGGGTGATGAGTACGCGACGAAACCCGGGGAATGTTTTCTGGATAACTCATCTCGCGACGCAAGCTATCCGCTTTTTGGACAGAACGCTTCTTGTTGTGCTGCACGTTATTAGTTAAATATTATAGACCGGAAACTGCATTGCAGAAACTCACTTTTAAACACCGCCTGCAAGTGCCGGGTCGCAGATATTTATCGTTATTTTCCATCGTACGAGCAATAATTGGAATCGAGTTTATTTGAATATTTTTCTTATGACTTGTGACTTCTGTTTACGAGAGCACTTATGAAAGTGAAGCCTTAGCCTGGCACTAGTATCCATGGGTACTTGACTTAAAAATCTAAGGCTACTAGTTCTGAAAACAAATAATAAAGAATTAAGATAACAACTGATGAAATGGAGTTTCCAATAATATTTCCCGCCCTTGTTATATTAAAATAGCCATTTGTGATTTGTTGTTGTTGTATTTTTTAATTAATTCATAATAAAAGTTTCTATTTTTCGGTTGGTTTTTTTTGTTTTCGACGCTTAGCTAATATATTTATTATATATTATTTATATGTATATCTACAATAGTTATTAGCATTATCATTATTAAACTGTTGTTTACTTTCTTTTTGTTTCGAATCTGCGTAATTCGCAGATCCATTTCATTTGTTTGTTGGTTTGTTTGTTTTTAGACAAGTTAAGATTTAAAAAAAACTCAAAATTACACTTATATACGTGCTGTTAGTTCTTCTTTCCCCGCGCTTCTCTCTCGTTTTCGTTTCTGCCTTCTCTTCGCTTAAATAACAAAAAAATTGTCGCTTCTGCCAAATAAATTATATATGCATATATAATAAAAAATATATGGTCATATACTTGGTAAGACGTAAATGTAGAGCATACAAAAAAATTAAACTAAAACTGAAAACAAATCTTGCTGCAATTTCAATCGGAGGTTTAAAAAAAAAAGATGTATGATAAATATAAGTTTCTTTTGTTTTGTTTCATTAACATTTTCTGATACAAATACTTAAATTGAAATTTTGGGTGTGCGGCGGCGTGGCGTTTTATCGGTAAATGTAAGTAACTACAAAATAAGAATCTACAAGTTCCAATTAGCAGGACAGTGAGCCGATAATCAAAAGAATAAACAAACATTTTCGATCGCAAAATGAAAATTAATATTTAACGGCGCTGGGTCGCAGGATCCCCAACCAATATATATATAGATATATATATATATAGAAAATTGTCGATTTCCTCGTCCCGAGAAGCGTGCATTCGCACTCGCATTCGGCTCGCCTTGACTCGCATTTTGGTTGTCATCGTAATCATTTTATCATCATGATTTTCATACATATTTATGTTGGGCTGTTGTAAATATACAATCTTTCATCTTTCATATACTCTATTTATATATATTTATTTATATATAATTTGTATATAGTTTAATTAGCTTTTTATTGCAGTTGAGTATACTATGTTGACTTGTTTTTTAGTTGGTGTTGTTTTTGTTGCTGGTGTTGTTGATCCTATTTCGTTTGTTTATCTTTTGTTTGTTTCGATTCGTATCGAGGCTTTATCCATATTGCTTCTTGATCTTGATAGGTTTTTGTCGGCACTATTCTCCATTTTTGTAGTTATCTTGCGTGGTGTGTTTGTGGCTATTTCTCTGCTTTCTGGCTTTCTGGCTTTTCCTCCGCCTTGCTTCATGCTTATTTAAGTTTAATTTTGTTTTTAATTTACGCTTTGCTAATTATAAATTATGTTTTAGTTTTGTTGTGTTTCTTGTTGGAGTTCTTGTTGTCGCAGCTGTTGCAGTTGGTTGATTTATCCTGATTTGTCTTGTGCCAAGTCCACATAAACCAGATCCATATGCTGCCACCACATGGTCGGTTGGGCTGGGGATTGGAACTGTAACTGGATCCTAATCCGAACACAAGTGAATCGCGGGCTGGTGGTGGTGGTGGTGGTGGGGAGAGATGCGTCGCCCAGTGGAGAGAAGTAGGAGGATGGAGCAGGATGCACGCGGTTTATCAGTCATTGTCGTGGGCCCGCCCCGCCAGTATTCGTCGTCCATTCGTTTAATCCGTGCCCAGCTGATGCCCACATAACACAAAGGGCTTTGATCCGGGCCTAGCGAAACGAGGACAAAGGCTAGCTGCTGGCGGCGGCGGCGGCCACCATGGACCGATCATCATCGCAATCATCATCAGCTGCGCCAGAAGAAGCTCTTTTTGAGCCTGACAGACAGCTTGCGATGCACGCGCAGCCTAACCTGCTCCTGATCCTAAGTATCGTCCGACATGAACGCGTTCTGAGTCTTCGACTCCTCAATGCGGCGGATCTGTTGGCGCAAATACATGATTCTGCGGGGGGGAATACAATAAATATAAATACAATAAATAAACAATGTTAAATCACACAGAGATCCACTCACTTTTGTTCCTGCAGGGTGGCATTGATCTCGGTGCTGCGCACCAGGCTGCGGGCGCACTTCAACTCCGCGCATATCCTCGTGCAGGTGATGTCGCCAAACAGGTGCGTATCCTCACAGCACTTCTGCGCCTTCGAGAAAAACAATGCAAAACATTTACAATCAGTTCGAGTTCATATGCGCATTCATTGATATATTCAGAGGCCGCAAATCCTACCTCACAGCTTACCTGACGCTCCAGCACCTCCGCCTGCCAGTTGGTCACATGCGCAATCAGATCGGCGCGGAAATATTTGGCCAGCTTGGGCGAAATCTCGGGACCGCGTAGATTGGCCGCCTGACCCGAGGAGCCCACACAGCTCTGCAGCGAGCTTAGCGTGGCCGACGAGGTGCCATCCACTGGAATAATATATATAAATATTATATAAATAATACAATGAAGCTGGCAAATTTAGAGACTTACATTTACGCTGCTGCTGGGCCTGCTGCGCCGCCTGCAGCTGAAGACTGGCCGCTGCCGCTGCTGCTGCTGCTGCTGCCGCTGCGACGGCCAACTGTTGCTGCTCCAGCGCCGAGCCGCTCAAGTCGAGTTCCTGTGTCGGCGTGGGCGGGCCCTCGCCACCCGCCGCCGCCCCGCTGTTGCTGCCCATCGAGGTGATCACACTGATGCCGCTGACGGCGCCCAAGCCGGGCACGATGCTTTGGCTGCTATTCGCTCCGCTGGAGCCGGAGGATGAGGCATTGCCGCCGGGCGTGGCCGGCGAGGCGTTCGCCACCAGCACTCCGCCGTCGAGGGCCGTCTTGAGGCCGAAGGGTGGATTGCAGGTGTAGGCGCTGCTCACATTATTCGTGTGGCCCACAATCGTCGGGATGGGACTCTTCGTGTAGCTCAACGACGGCGAGAGGCTGTGGTGCGGATGCGGCATGTACAGCGGCGAGTTTACACTGTTGTCCCTGCAATTTGTTTATAGATTAATTGGAAATCGTATACATTTAACAGCTTAAATACACCTACCGTAAGCTGCCGGAGACCGAGTTATTGACCGAATTGTAGGCATGGTTGGCCACCCCATCTGCCGCCGATCCAACCGAGTTGACGCCCTGATGCGACTGCACATCGAGCACGCCCAGGCCGAGATGCATCTTCTGGCGCATCAGCAGATTGGCCTGATCCTTGCCCTTGGCACCCGGCGGCAGTGGAGCATTCGAGTTCAGATGGTGCTGGTGCGGATCCTGACTGCCCAGTGTGGGCACAGTTGTCTGCAAGGCATTTCAATTAAATGAAGTTTGAGAGATGGAGGTGCAGTTCAAAAACTTACGCCGGAAGTAGAGCCAATGTGGCCGCCGACAGAATTCCTTAGGCTGCTGCTGCTGCTGCTGTTTGCATTGTTGCTGCTGCCGCCGCTGCTGCCCGACGACGAGAGTCCGCTGGTGGGCAACATTGTGGCTCCCGTCACCGGGCCACCGCCCGCTCCGTGCAGTCCCGTCGCCACAGAGGCCGAGGAATTGGCATTCGGGTGTGAGGCCAAACGGGGCAGGGCGTTGCCCATGGGCTGATCGCTGTTGCCGCCGCCACTGGGACCTCCACCATGGGTGGTGGGCGTGCCGCTCAGCGAGTAACTGGCCTCCGAGGTGGGCGTCGAGTCGCCGCTTATGTCCATGTCAGCATTGTCGTTGTGTCGACCTGTCGGGCGAGTATTTAATTAGTAACTTTCCTGCTTTAGTTGCCCTAATTTCTCTCTCACCATCCAAACGCCTTCGATGGCTGGGCGGACCGCCATCGTTGTCGTAATTCCATCTCAGTCGTGAATTGTCGCGCGAAGAATTGGAATGTTTGTATGCTGGAATGCATAAATCATTTGTTAATACATTTATGTTATTTCAAAAGCAGGATTTTAGCTTACTCGATCTGGAGAAACGATCATCGCGGTCACGATCGCGATCCTTGTCGCGATAATCCTTCTCACGATGTTGATCGCGCGGCAAATTTCTGAAAGCATATTCAACATATTTAATAATGCTTTTTGATTATTCAAGATTTTCATTTACCTTTCTCTGTCCACCCATTCCTTTGGTTTCTCCCATTGGGAGATTTCCGTTTTGCAGTTGTAGTAATACATTTTGCCTGAAATTAGGCAAACGTTTTAGATGGTCAAAGGCGAAAATTAGAAGAGAAGATTAGATGGACTCACCCGATGAGCTGACATGCTCGCTCCAGTCGCCATAACGAGCCGTTCGCTCGCCGCGATCGGTGCGTTCGCGTTTGTCTGAGGGAAAATAAATAAATAAATGAATAAAAGGAATAATGCGACGGCTGCCTTGACGCTCACCTGTATACTTGTCCTTCTTGTACATATCCCTGTCGCGATCGGAGCCGCGATCCCGCTTATCGCGCAGATCCCGCAGATCTCGATCTCGCTCCCGGTCGCGATCATCGGAACCCGAGCGCTTGTCGTTCTCCCGCGAGGAGCACAGCTTGCCGCTGGCGTTGCCTCCTCCTCCACCGCCGCCGCCGCCTCCTCCTCCGCCGCCGCCACGCCGATCCCTGTCATGGTTGGTCCGGTACGACGACTCCGAGTCGCGATCGTTGCCACGCCGATCACGTTTGTCTGGAATAAAACGAAAAATTAATATATAGTTTCAAACAGATAGAAGAACTAGTAGCTTAAACTCACCTGAATATTTATCCTTCTTGTAGACATCTCGATCTCGATCCCGCATCTTCTGTATGAAGCTGTACCGCTCGCCGCTGCCGCCACGCCCATTACCGCCACCGCCGCCGCCGCCCCGATGATCGCTGCGATCGCGAAGATCGTGCGAACGGGACGATGGCGAATCAATGTCCGGGGATTGGGAGCGATAGCTGTTGCCATTGTTTAATGGTCCGCCGCCATTGCCGCTGCCGCCCCCGCCGCCGCCTCCTCCTCCTCCAGCGGATCCCCCGCCTCCTCCACCGCCAGCGCCTGGCGACAGGTCGCGATCGCGATAATTGGAGGAACGATCGCGTTCGTAGTCGCGCTTTGAACTGCTGTACTTTGAGCTCTGCACGGGTAAATAGAAGCGCACACACAGTTTTTAGTCGATTTAAATTCCCAAAATTAATTGCACAGTGCTACAAGATACAATTTGTTGTCGTGTCTTTTTCTTTTCAAGAAATTCCCGTGGGGATTGAAGATATGGTATAGAAAAAATATAATAAATTGCATTTAGCTTTAAAGGCAACAAAATACGGTTTAAAAACTTCAGTTCTCCATTTATCAAAGAAAAAAGAAAACAATTTTAAAGGATAAAAGGTAAAAGACTATACCTAAAATCCCCACGGGATCCCAAAAAAAAGATACAGATCCACTGTAATACTCAGTGTGTTACATTCTTGGTAGCGGTTGATTTGAGTCTCGTTTTAGTTATAACTTTTCAAGTTATTTCAATTTTCTGGGGGCAGGGTGATTAGTTGAACTAAATCTACTCAATAGGGAAATCATAAGTAAATGCATAAATGCCAGCTACTATTGCCAATGTTCTCGCTTGTGATTATTGCCAATGCAAAAGAAAATGAACAAAATGAGAGTTAAGTGAAATGAAACTCCGATGGTTTGAGAAATCAAACGTGTTATCGACAAGAATTTTGAAATATGTCAAGTATTTGGTTTGGTCTTTTTTTTGTCTTTTCAAGACTCCAAATTATAATATCCGAAATTCGAGTGTGAGTTTTGAAATTAATTAATAATAACCTTGTTTTTTGTTTTGTTTGACAAAATATGTTAAAATCAAAATAGTTGTCGGTCATAAATTATAATTCTCTTTAGTTTTCCAGTTTTTAATGTGTGTTTTTTGAAATTATAATCCTTGGTTGGTATTGAAGTCCATAAATTAATTTTGAATCCTTGGTTGATCTTTATAATCAGTCCATAAATTGTCTCTAACAAATCATAAACTCTATAATTTAGTGATTTAATAGATGACTTATTCATTTGTGTTCAAAAGTGTTCAAAAGATTTAATTAAAAATATGTAAATCATAATTTGTTGATAAATGTTTTGTTTCAGCGGCGATTTGTGTGTTGATTTAGCCAAATTTAAATTGAAAATATACAAATTTGAATGAAGGATTTATTGCTGCCGCATTTTTTCTTACGGTTATGCCATGTTTTCTTGGATTTTTTAAAATACATTATTAGTTATTTGGGGTTGTATTGTTTACTTGATTGATTTATGCTTTTCCAGGCTGATTAGCTGTTGTTTAAATCGTTTTGCGATCGATTTTTATGATTTTTAGTTTAATTTCCTTTTTTATTTTGTATTATTTATTTTTTTAACCATTTTTGGTATGGTTTTTTCGTTTAAATTTACTTACTTCTAGGCGACAGAGACCCACCGCTGATGGCGTTGACGTCGCTGCCAGCGTCGCTGCTGCTGCGCTGCTTTTGCTGTTCGCATTGTTGTTGTTGTTATTATTATTATTATTATGATTGCTAATGTTGCTATTGCAATTGGCAATTGTTGTTGTTGAAAGGGAGAGATCAACAGCCATGTTGTTCTTGTTGTTGTGTCTTTTGCTGGATTTGTTGCTGCTGCTGCTGGAGGAATTGTTGTTGCTCCTCATAGATAATTAATTAATTAATTATTAAATTGTATTGATAATCCAATTGGTCGCTTTTTTACGAGGACACAACTTTATTGATTTTTACTTTTATTAATTTCCCATTTCATTCATTTTTTTGGCTTAATTGATTGTTGTTGCTTTTTGGTTGAGGCACATTTGTGTTTTTGTTGTTGTCGTTGATATTTTCGTTAAATATTTTTGAGATCTTTGTATGTCTCTCAGTTGCACATTCATTTTTTAGTTTAGTTTTTTGTATCGGTGTATAATTGTTTACTACGTCGTTTTTAAGGCTATTTTACTTTGATTAAGTTTTTATCTTTAGGCAGCGCTTAGAAATTGGTTATGAATTTGATTTCTATTTAAAATAGTTTGATAAATGTTTATATACTTTCGCTTTCGTTATTCTATTAGTTCTATTAATAATAATATATATTTCGATTTAAAGCATATGTTTGTGCTGTTCGGTTAGGGATTGTAATTGAATAATTTCTTTCTAAATAGGATATTTTGTTGATAACTATCTCTCGTTTTCTTGTATATCGACCTATTTAACTATTTATCGAATTTATTTCGGTTATTTCGGTATTTCGGTATTTGGTTTTTTGTGTTTGTCTTTTTGGCGTTGATGCGTAAAGATTCGTTTCTCAATTTAAGATCAGTTCAGGCTGCAATGCCGCGTTTTTGAATGGGTTAAAATGAAACACGATTTGGTCAGTTCAAAAATGGATGAGGTTACGGGAAAAGTAAGATCTGGGATGCACAACAAACACAGCGATTGAAGAAAGGAAGAGAGAAATATATGAACAGAAGAAATCCAAAAATTCCGGGCTATACAATTTGCAATTTTGTTGATTTTTCAGTGATACAGCTACGTACTAAAATATCAGCAAATGACAAACGGGGAAATCGATGGTTCAAGAATCTACGATTTACATTGGCTTTATGAATTCTTTTTTGCTTTTTTTTTTTCTTGGCTTTTTTGGGTGCATTACGAAAGGAGCTAAGCTACGGAACAAAATATATATCCACTAAAAGCTGGCATACAAAATGTGATTAATTGCGGTTAAGGGAGGGATCTCGGATCGGTCTGCTCACCTGGTATGATGTGTGGCTGGTATGCTTCTCAAAGTACCTGAATGGTGAGGGAAGAGATAAATAAATAAATTAGTTTCGTTTGTCAATAGGTTTTAGAAATTATATTAATTAGGAAAATGTATTAAAATAGTAGAAACTAATTAATGATAGTGCACATTAAATTTGAAAATATTCTCAAATAATATTTCTGATTACAAGTCTTAAGCTATAGAATATTTTATAAGTATTCACTTTTGACAGTCTTAAAAATAGTGCACATAAAATTGAAATGGATTGTTAAATGAGATTTCTGTTTATAAGTAGTCAGTTATATAATTTTAAACTTATTTTCAAAATAAAATAAAATAAAATACCCAAACTTAAATCGATTTCCCTTTCCCATTGAGTTTTCTTTTATCAATACGGGCGCTTATCAATGCCGGCATTGATTTGTTGACAGTGATTAACTTTGGTTGTTTTTGGGTTCAATGGACAATCAAAAGCCGGCTAAAAAGCGATGGTAAATAAACAAATTAAGGGCAATTCGATAAACAATGGATATTAATATTGACTTATTATTTTGCAGTGCAAAAAGCAAACGGTAAATGTGACAATTTTTTTCACTTTTTTTGGCTTTTGCCAGCTGAGCGCGTGCGAGCGAGAGGCCAGAAGAGTGTGTGGTGGAAAAGTCAAAAAATATAAAATATCGCGAGAATGCCAAGGGCAAAGGGGAAAAATCAAAGGCACAAACTTGGGGGAAACCCAAAATATTTGGGAAAAACATTTAATTAAGCGAAATCAATCGAATTGAGCTCGAAAAACGAAAAGCGGGCAGTGACCGAAACTGCGAGTTCGAGCGAGATGGCGATAGGACAGAACGTAAACAAAAAAATATACAATTATGGGTGTGGGTGTGTGCGTTAGGGGGGAGGGGCGAGGGGGGATCACTGTTATTGCCGATATTACGGTACATTATTCTACATTATGTATTGCATATATATATATATTACCCATCGTTCATACGCTGCGGTTTTCTAGCATGCATTACCATCAATGCAAGTTTTTCGCCAAATACGCTGCTGCTGCTTCTGTTGGTTTTCCTCGCTTCTGCTGCTTCCTCTTCTCGTGGAGATAATGCAGCCTGTTCCGGTGATTCTATCCAATTTTGTGGGGCCTTTGGCGCCTCCTTTTTGCTCCTCCTCCTTCCTCCTCCGCCACCACTTCTTCTTCTCACCTGCCAAGGCACGCGCGCTTGTATGTGTGTGTGTGTGTTGTGGTCTGCTTGTATGGGAGGCTCTCAGTGGCATGTGTGTCCGTGTGTGTGTGTGGCCCCAAACTCAACGTGTGTGTGTGTGTGTGTGTTTTGCCTAAATTGCGGTCGCCGTTTTATCGGCTTATTTTGGTGCCACCTGAAATTGCAAGCATTTTTAGACAGCTTCCTCTCTTCGATCTCCTTAATGCAATTAGCATGCGAAACGCCTTTAATTTTTCACTTAAAGCCAGCGGACACACGCATGAGTGTGCGTACGCAAGTGTGTGTGTCAGTGTGTGAGTGTGGTGTCGCTTCCATCGTATTTCGTTTGACTTTTTTGTGGCTTTTTCTTACCGCAATTCGTTTGCCGCTCGCCTTCTTCTTCGCGCTGTGGTCGCCGCATTTAGTTGCTCCGCATCGAACGGCAATTTGTTTAATTATACGCCGACTGCTTTTTGGCCTCTATACTTGATGATTTTTTTCAATTCTTTTGCATTACGCTTTGTGCGGTCTGTTCGTCGGCACGGCTGTGTTGAGTTTGACAGCCATCGGTAGCTGTTGGCGTCCCGCTCGCACATTTTCCTTGTGCCCTGCATGCGTTTGTCCCTTTTCCGCCGGCCGCTTGGCGGGCGTGCGAAGAGTGCGGGTATATGTGCTGTGCGGTTAGTCGGTGTGGTGGACTCCAGGTGGCGCGGCGTTTTCTGGCATTATTTAGTGCCTTTTGGCGCTAGGCGTTGGACGAACTGGCAAACGGTCACACTGGAGATAGGGGCTGCCAACCCGTCCGGAATTTTCATTCTTATTTGGATATTGTTTTGAAAAAAGAATAGTTTTAATACGCATGCATTGTATCCTACTTAAACTAGCAATTACTTGGATTTTTAAAAGGATAAGTGCATTTTTATTTAATTTTTATTATTTTATTGGCGTTTTAAAGCATTTAAAACAGTAAAAGTACGTAACATTTGCCTGAAAAATACCGATAGTATCGAATAAAAAATACCATTCATTTCGTTAGAATTTCTTTCTTCCAAGAAAATAGCTAAAAATCAGTTAGAAACAAGCCAAAGTAACTGGCGCAGTTCCCCAGCCAGATCTGGCTACAAAGCAACCAAGCTGACAGCACTACGAGCGGCAGGCTGGCTCCTGTGAATTCCTTAAATATAAATTAATTAATTTTTTGAGCATTGCGGCAAGGAATGAGTTTCGGCGACTGCACCAGCAACTTTATATACCTGACGGGCAGCGAGGATTACGCGCTAAATTTGGCCAAGGTGAGTGGGAGTCGGCGAAATCCTGGGAATTTCTTTAAAATTAGGTATTTAATTTATTATTATTATTAAGCTATGCGAGCGCTTTGCGCTGAAGGAGAAGCGCGTTTTCCTGATCACCAGCCGGCAGCAGGAGATGGCGAAGCGCTTCTCGCTGAATCCTCTCAACTGCAGCAAATATCTGAGCATCCTGCAGCCGCAGGACTTCGAGAGCACCCCCCTCCGCCTGCTGGAACTGCAGGACAGTCCGGCGGAATCCTCGATGCGGCGACCACATCTCATCGTCTTCGACCTGCAGTCGCTCGTCCTGGACGCCCTGCTGCGTCCCGTGATGCAGCAGTGCTCCCGGGACAAGATGGTCCGGCACATCGCCAAGTGCTCCGCCTCGTTTGTGAATTATCGGGAGATCCTTGCGCCGCCCATCGATACGATTGTGGTCATGTCGCAGGAACCGTATCCCCTGTCGCCCGCCCAGTTCAAGCTGCTCATCGGGCTCTATTTCCATGGCCACGAGTGCCACACGAACTTCGCGAAGCTCTCGTCGCGTCTGCTGGACGCCCAGGTATTTAAATAGGAGGAGGATTCAGCCAGGATTCAGTGCCTTACAGCCTTCCCTAGTCACTAAGCCAGCTAAATCTACGTTATTTAGTTATTTATGTACAAACAGTGAACGAAAAACTAACATAATTTGTTGTTAGCCCAAAGCGATAGTCGAAAAGTAAGCAGTTGTACCCTATATGAAAATATATTCTAAACAGGTTTACAACTAACAAAAAAAAAGATATGGAGATAATATTTAATAATAATATACATATAACAATTATATTTACTATGCTAAATGCTGAATCTCAATTTAAGTAAATTGTGTAAAAAAAAAATGAACGAAAAACTACCATAATTTGTTGTTAGAATACCCAAGTTAGCCAGTTGTACCCTATATTATATGAAAATATAATACCAAGTTAGTGCGAATACATGGCATCCATGCAAAATGTTATACGAAAACAAAGAAATCGAGTGCTCGATCGAATATAGACTTTATTCTACTATTTATTCTTAACAGGTTTACAACTAACAAAAAAAAATACAGAGATATGGAGATAATATTTAATAATAATATACATACAACAATTATATTATGCTAAATCGTGAATCTCAATTTAAGTAAATTGTGTAAAAAAAAAAAAAAAGAATTTGGAATACAGAAATGCATAGAATACACAAATGCAGCTAATATTATTGGAGAATGTGCTCCGGAAATGTGTCGAGGGATCTCCGGAACACAAGCCACCAAAGCCACACGATTGACAAAGGAACTAAAACCCCACCATCCATCCGCCGAGTCTCAAATGTAGTCCAGCATGCCGCTGATGATCTCGAAGGCATCCCGAGCCGTCGGCTCAATGGCGCTGCTGGGCAGCAGGTAGCCATGCACTCCGTTGTCCGCCAGCTGGAGCGTGTAGCTGAAGGGTATTCCGATCTCGTAGGCGGCGAAGGCATCCGCACAGCCTGCAAAGATCAAGGATGATCCAGAGTTAGCGGGAGAAGGTATACAAATATTTTAAAATATAATATTAATAAATTAACAATTAAAAAAAAGGTTTAGCGGGAGAAGAACTCAGAAAGGGCTTCTTAAATATTTCAAGGCCTACAAATATTTTGAAATATAATATTAATATATTAAAAATTGAAAAAAGAAAGGCTTAGCGGGAGAAGAAGTTAGAAAGGGCTTCGTAAATATTTCAAGGATTACAAATATTTTTAAAAATATAAAAAAAGGGGGTTAGCGGGAGAAAAGACTTAGGAAATATTTCAAGTGTACAAATATTTGAAAATATAATATTAATATATTTCAAATTAAAAAAAGAATGGTTTAGCGGGAGAAGAATTTAGAAAGGGCTTTGTAAATATTTCAAGGCTTACAAATATTTTGATATATAATATTAATATATTAAAAAGTAAAAAAAAGTGGGATACCGGGAGAAGATCTGAGAAATGACTGTAAATATTTCGAGGTATAAAAATATTTCAAAATATTTTATTAATACATATAAAAATGAAAAAAAAGAAGATCACAGAAAAGACTTAAGAAATATTTCGTGGTATAAAAATATTTGAAAATATAATGTTAATATGATATAACATTATAATACTCTATTAAGAAAATACCTTTAATAATAGATATTATACGCACCGGAACAAATATTTGAAAATACAATATAAACATCATATAATATTATAACACTCTAGAAAATACTTAAAATAATATATATAATAATAGTATATTATATCATTAAAATGAAAAATTAACTTAAATTAATACCCACCGGAACGCTGCTCGATCAGATCGTTGGATGCATCGACCTTATAGCGGGACTTGCTGCCCTTTTTGCGCAGTCCATCGGTGCCCACCATGGCGACGTCGAGGAAATCGTCCAGTCTCTCTGAATTGAATGTGGAATTCGCCTTGACCGGATAGGAGATCACCTGGCCATAGGCCTGCAGGGAAATATAAAGCTGAAAGAATAATATTTATCTAGTTTATTTATATTTATATTATATATTTAAGACGCCCACCTTGATCTGCGTCCTGTAGTCCATGAGGAATTCGGAGACGGCCTTCGTTTCGGGCTCGGAAAATGGCGCTGGACCGGCGTAGAACTCGTTGCAGGGCGCCTTGGAGCTGCCCCGTTTGCCCCAATGGTACAGCCAGTTCCTGTCCAGATCCACGCCATGGCAGACCTTCTCGGGATCGCGTTTCTGCTGCAGCCACGTCATCGCCGAGTCGAGGAGACCGCTGGGCGGCGGAGCCTGGTGCTGGGATCGCGACTTCTTCCAGAACCGATCGTACTCGTGGCTATAGGCATATCCATCAGGATTCAGAACGGGCATTACGTACCACGTGGTGTTCCGAATGAACTCGACGTCCTCGTTGCTTTCTAAGGGGTTTCAAAGGAAATTTTGATTCATTTGTTATAATAACATACCATATAATGTATTGAAATATTTTTTGAGAATTAAGAAATGAAAAGTTTTCAGCATAAACATATAATTTTTCATATTGCATATTTTTAACTGCCACAACGACTTCAAAAAATTAGGAGCACAACGAGACAATTTCTTTACATTTTTAAAATCTCAAAGTATGAATTAAAATAAAATAATGAAATGAAGTAAAATTAAATTTCCAACTCTAAATGTTAATTGTATTAAATGTTAGATATAAGCTGAAAAGTTAATTTATATAGGAATTTAAATATCTTTATTATATTTAATATGGTTTTTGTGACTAGTGCTTTAATTTATAAGGAAGTCCTTGTAGCACCAGTAAATGAAAAATAAATAAATAAAATAAAATTAAAGTAGTCGATCCACGTAACCCTTTTGCCTCAACTCGAATTTGTATTAGTTGAGCCCTTGTCAGTCCGGCAGTCAAGTTATCTGGAGCCCCGAAAAAACCGAGAGAAGATGGAGAGGCGAAGGCCCCGGCGATCCTCGCGCCATTTCTTGCGTTCCAAATCGAATCCCTCTGTTGCCGCCGGCGGAGGCGGAGGAGGAGCAGCTACCTCCAAAGGGACTTCCAATGGAGCCACCCCCACCATCACATCCCTTCTGGGGGGACGTCTGAAGAGGGTCGCTTCGCGTGGCCTGCAGGTGACCGAAAATCCCGATGTGGGCTTCACACCCGTCAGGGAGTCGGAGCAGTCGGAGGGCTCCGATGTGGGCGCCGGCGTGATGGTCCTGCCGGCGTCGGCCAGTCCCCGCGGATCGGCGGTGCACGGTGCACACCTGGCGGGCGTGGCGTTCGGCGGCAGCCTGGCCAGAAGCTCGGACAGTCCCCGGATATCGGAGGAGGTGAGGGAGGTCTTCAGGACCTCGTCGATGCGGAATGCCGGATCCACTGTGGCACCGGCATCGGGAGGCAATCTGCGATTCGATGACTCCACTGGCGCAGGAAACATCAACTTCGCCGCCAATTCGTATTACGAGGAGAACCGGCAGAGCAGCCTGGAGTCCAATGAGGATGATGATGACAATGATGACAGTCGGATGGAGAGCAGCCCCAGTTTGGGAGCCTGCAGCCATGGCTGGGCGCAGCAGCAGCAGCATCAACCCGCCTCGGGACACACTGGAAGGGATACCCTGGGATTCGCCATCCAACTGGGCACCGCCACCATGGGCCACAACCGCTGCAGCCTGGGCGTTAATTGCGATGAGGATTGCGGCTATGGAACCGGCTGCGATGCCGGATGCGGAGCGGCCCATGGCATCGATCCCGGGAGCTTCGCCTATCCGGGAGCTTTGGATCACGGACCGCCTTTGGTGATTTCACAACCGGGATTCGCAGCGGGATCGGGAGGTGCACCTCCAGTCGGTGGAGGCTATGTTCCTGGAGGAGGCTATAAGCCCGTACCTTCTGTGCAGCGCGGTTCCATGGGCTCAGATTTTGGCAGTGATCAGTTGAACTTCTTCATCACCTTCCTGCTAGAGGTCCTCGGGGTGCTAGTGTGAGTATCTTTTCGGAGAAAATAACCTCCTATCTACCTTACTATGTTGTTATTAGAAGATCCCACCTTGTGCCGTCCAAAAAAGACTCTACCCCTTTGATAACCCACGAAAACTTTCTTTCCCTCCCCATCTTAATAACTATGCAGATATAAGAACCCACCTCGTGCTGTCCAAAAAAGACTTTACCCCTTTGATAACCCACGAAAAAATTTCTTCCCCTCCCCATCTTAATAACTATGTAGATATAAGAACCCACCTTGTGCTGTCCAAAAAAGACTCTACCCCTTTGATAACCCACGAAAAATTTCTTCCCCTCCCCATCTTAATAATTATGTAGATATAAGAACCCACCTTGTGCTGTCCAAAAAAGACTCTACCCCATTGATAACCCACGAAAACTTTAGACCAACAGGAAAGGAACCTCTCCTCCCCATCTTAATAACTATTTAGATATAAGAATCCACCTTGTGCTGTCCGAAAAAGACTCTACCCCTTTCATAACCCACGATTACCCACGAAAACCTCCCACCAACAGGTTCTTTGCCATCTGCACCATTACATTCTGGATCACTCTGGGCTACCATGTCGTCCAGTTGCTGGTGGACCTGAAGAACGCCGATCGCAACGTTCAGGTGGCGGTGGTCATTGTATTCGGGCTGCTGCTCATGGCGTTCGCCATTTCGCAGGTGACCAACCGCAATGGGTCCTGCTGTCATTCGCGGGACCGAGCCCGCTCCAGGTCCAAAGGCGGCGGCATTTGCCCATTCCACAGGTCCACCAAGTCCGCCAAGGCGAAGACCAAGCCCAAGAGTTATGCGCCCAAAGCGAAGAGCTGTGCTTACAAGCCAAAGAGCCAGAAGGCGGCGGCGAGTACTTGCGCAGCCAAACTGGATTTCCACTCGCACCGAAAGCCACGATACACCGACTGCGAGGGACGGGCCATTTTCCTGAGCTCCAGACGATATGCCATACCCACGGAGATGAAGCAGCCGCCCACCATTGTCCTCTGGCTGCGCGATGCGCTGGCTCGCATGATGGCATAACCACCAAGTATTCAACGCCCCACGTTGGGCGCCAAAAACATGATACGACCTCGAATGTCTGACAGACTGACAGGGGAGAACTATCGGACACCAATTCAATGAAGAAATTTGATAATTTGGCTCAAAATTTCAGGTTGAATAAACTTTTCTGTAAGCTCAATATTGGAAATTTTGAAGTATGAAACATGCTTTCAATTCCTAAGCGTTGTTTGGTTAAAGTATCCATTATTTACACAACTATTTTCACTATCTTAGCTCAAGTTTGGCTAAAGCGATGGCTTCTACTCACTGTTTGACTTCATCAGTCGCAGCAGCTCGGCTATCATCCAGGTGGCCGTCGCGGGTCCAATCCAGGCCAATCCCTGAGCTCCGGCCTCGACGAACACGGCATTGGCCTGGCCCGACTTTCGCTTGCGCTTGGGTCGCTTGACGTTGTGAGGACCCTCGCTATTTGTCGCCGCCGCCGATTGTTTCGACTCGATCTTCACCACAATCAGGGGACGACCTTCGTAGGAGCGACCGATGTGGATGAGCTCAACCAGCTGCGGATGACGCATGCGCACCGTCTCCAGATACTTGACGATCTCATCGTGGTTGTGGTAGCGATTCCAAGTCATGGCCGGCGGTACTGTGGGTCGCGGCTTCGAGGGTCGAGTGGTGTGGAGATAATCCTCCTTGGTCAGCTCGTAGGCAATGGCCTTGCCCACATCGAAGATGAGCACTTCGTGGGCAATGCCCTCGTAGTTCAGGGTGCCCTGGAAGTCGACGAGCATCTTGGGTGGCACCAGGACATCTGTGAGTCCTCTAAACGGATGGGATGAGATGAAAGGATTTTGGTGTAAGATGACGATTTTTTTTCAGTCGCGAATTCTTTAGCATTAAGTGGATTTTGGTGTAGGATGAATAATTTTTTCTCAGTCGCGAATTCTTTAGCATTAAGTGGATTTTGGTGTAGGATGAATAATTTTTGGTCAGTCGCGAATTCTTTAGCATTAAGTGGATTTTGGTGTAGGATGAATTATTTTGTTCTCAGTCGCGAATTCTTTAGCATTAAGTGGATTTTGGTGTAGGATGAATTATTTTGTTCTCAGTCGCGAATTCCTTAGCATTAAGTGGATTTTGGTGTAGGATGAATTATTTTGTTCTCAGTCGCGAATTCCTTAGCATTAAGTGGATTTTGGTGTAGGATGAATAAATTTTTCTCAGTCGCGAATTCTTTAGCATTAAGTGGATTTTGGTGTAGGATGAATAATTTTTCTCAGTCGCGAATTCTTTAGCATTAAGTGGATTTTAGTGCAAGATGAATTTTTTTTTCTCAGTCGCGAATTCTTTAGCATTAAGTGGATTTTGGTGTAAGATGAATTATTTTTTTTTCAGTTGCGAATTCTTTAGCATTAAGTGATCTCACCTGAGACTGGGTCCCTTGAGCCAGTGCATCTTAAACCCGTCCTCGCCCTTTTTGAACTCCTCGAGGGCGCGAACCTGCGCTTCGTCCTGCGGCTTCAGGCGCCAAATCTGGTACTTATCGTAGCTGATTCGCCTGGGAACCTCCGGTCGCGATGTGGTCGTTGTGGTGCTGCTGGTGCCCCTGGTGGTCATCCGAGTGGCCAGCGCCTGGAGCAGCGGATTGCTGGTGGTCGTGGAGATGGCACTGCCCGTGGAGTTGACAATGTGGTGGGCCAGTATGCCGATCCAGTTTTGCGGATTTCTCAGCGGGTCCACGATGGTCAGAATGGGCACCTGGGCCGCCGCCGCCGCGGATGGTGTATGGGTAGTGGTCGTGGTCGAGGTGGTCGATGTGGAGGTGGTGGAACGACGCCTGACCTTTCGCTTTGGCCTCGAATCGAACCAGCTGGAAAACCATTCTGTACGTGGGGTGGTTAAAAAAAAAGAGTCATATATTGGCTTTCGGCTGTCTTTTCTTGAGCGGTGCAGAAAGCGTGAAGGGAAAAACGAGAACCCACACCCACACCGTTAGCCATTCAATGGGGTTCTGGCTTTTCCCCTTCCATCTCCCTGCTCAGTCAGCCAATCTTCCCATTAACTGAACCGCTCAAATAACAAGAACACTACAGAGTTGGCTTTTAATTGCCCGGTAATTATAGGTTAAATATAGAAGTTAATATGGGTAAAATGCCAAATCATCATTAGTATGTTTCTCGATTTCAAAACTAATATTGCAAGTGATTTCATAACATTTAAACGTGGTAAGATCTTCAATTGAATAATATCCTCATAGGCTATAGTTATTTCTTTGTTTTTATTTCTTAGGAATTGGTTAAACATTTAATGTTCAACATTCCTGAACAATATTTTAAAAAAAATTTTTTAGCTTTGAACTCTTTTTTCGAGGTACTCACTGTCATAGGATCTTCAGTTGAATAATATTTAGTTACTTCTTTGTTTTTATTTCTTAGGAACTGGTTAAACATTTAATGTTCAATACTAAAAAAAAAATCTGTGCTTCGAACTCTTTTTTTGAGGTACTCACTGTCGTAGTCATCCTCCGCTTCCGGTTCTGCGGTGGTCTTGCCGAATCCGAACCAGGACTCCAGCCAGCCGGGTGGCTCCTTGGTTGGTGGTGGCAATGGCAGCGGCGCCGTGGTGGTGCTGCCGATTTTCTTGGTGCGTCGCTGGAGGCCAAACCAGGAGCTGAACCAGCTGCCCAGGGAGGCATCCCCATCCTCGTCGCCCTCCTCATCCTCCGGCTCGGCATAGGCCTCGTTGCTGTGGGCACTGTGATAGAGGGTGTAGCTGGGATACTTCGATACTGGCGGACTAGCTGGCTCCTTGTCGTCCTCGTCGTCGGGGGAGCCGAAGCCATCCATGAGTCGCGACATGGCCACCTGGACGGGGTAGAAGATCATGCGAAAGAAGCCACCGATGCCCGAGTCCTCGTCATCGTCGTAATCCTCATCGGAGTCCACCGGTCGCCTCTTGATGCGAATTTTCTTCTTGGCCATCGAGTTCTTGGTGCTCGAGGTGGCATCCACCTCCTCCTCCTCCGACGACGACATCGATGTGGCTGTCGTTGTCTCCTCCTCGACCATGGCTCCAAAATCGGCGCCCTCCTCGGCGGAACTGCTGTCTTCCTTGAGATCACTCTGAGCCTCTGTGCTGCTGGGTTGGTCTCTATCCCTCTCCCCATCCTCGAAATAATAGTCCTCATCCTCCTCGTTCTCATCCTCGTAATCCCCATCCGACATGAGCTCGAATATATTAAAGCTGGGCAGTTCGGGTCTTCCACGTTTGCGTTCCTTAGTCTTGGTTTTAGTTTTATTTTTCTTTTTCCGATTGGTACTTGGATTTACCTGGGGCCCTTCATCCTGGCTGTGATTTCTGTGATTTCGGTGGAGCAGATGCAAGGCGGTGGGTAAGTGCAACGGACCACCCGAATTCTTCTCTGTCTTTTGGCTTGGGGTTTGGGTTTGAGTTTGCGTTGGCTGCTGTTTGGTCCTTCGCCTTCGGGAGCTTCCCTTGGGTGAGCGTCTTTTTGGGGGGGTGCTCACCCGTCGAGCGGCCACCACTCTTTGGGATCCTTTCGATAGGGTCTTTCTTTCTTGTTTTGTAGAATTGTTGGGTTTATCCAAAGAGCGACGATGTCTAGTGTGAATGGTTTCTGAAGCTCTCGATTCTTCTGGGGTTTCCCTGCTTTTCAGATTCTTCAAAGAATCTGTTTTACCCACTTTTTGTTTAGTCAGTGTCTTCAGAGAAGAAGCTCTTCTTCTTCCACCCGCCGAATCTTCCAGCGAACGGCGTCTTCTAAGACTCAGTGGTTTCTGTTCTTCCACCGTTTCACTTTCTTCCGCTGACTCTTCGCCGGTTCGAAATAAATGCTGACTGAAGACATTGGCAGTGGGTTTCTCCAATTGACTGTAGGCCGGCGGTGGTCGCGTGGTGGTGCTGCTGGTGGTGCTACTACTGGTGGGTCTCTTGCCCAAGATGATGGGCAATGGACCCTGGGAGTGATTCCTGCTACTATTATAGCCCGGCCTCTTTTTGATCACCTTGGTCTTGTTCTTTGGCTTCTTCTTCCGCCTCTTCCGTCGCGTATTTGGCCTTGAAGTGGTGCTAGTGGTGGTGCTGGTGGTGGTGCTGCTGCCACTGCGGTGGGGCAACTTGAGCAGCTGATCGCTGACATGATCGACGGGTCCACTGGTGACCATCACAGGCGGCGGTCGATGACTTGGCTTGGGTAGCTTGTTACTCGGCTGGCTCAGCGAATTCTTGGGATTCTTCGGATTCTTCGGCTTCTTTAATCGTATGATCTGAGGCCTGGCGGTGGTTCCTCCCTGGTGCACCGGATTCAGGGTGGATATCACCGTGCCCGGCGGTATCGCTTGGCAATGCCGCTCATATTGCCTCCGCAGACTCTCCAGATCGGCATCGTATTGCGCCTTGGTCACATAGATGGCAATGGAGTTGCTATCGTTGCGACCTTGGGTGGATATAAGATTGGCATTGGCATTACCACCGCCCACTTGGCTGATGGCGTAGACAATACCGGTGGTTGGATGGGTAAAGTAAATGGGAAATGTGGTGCTGTTGCTGGGTTTCGGTTTTGGTTTTGGTTTCGGTTTGGGACTCGGCTCCTTGATCTCCAGCAGTTCGCTCTGCACATGGAATTGATCCGCTGCCGGTTGGCCATCCTCCACGGACTCAAAGACATACGGCTGGTTGGGATTTTGATCCTGATCTGGGAACAACTGGAACTCCAGCTCGGGCGGCTCGAAGCGAATGGAGGTCTGGTGCTGGTAGCGCGGCACAAAGCGGCGATCCTGGACGACGCGACGATGCTGGAGGAGATCGCGACCCCAGCTTTGGGATTGCCGCACCAGGCTGTCGAACTCCTCGGCACTCGGATGATAGCCAAAGTCGATGGCAATGCTCGGTGGGATCACAATCACAATGACGATCGCGATCGAAAGCAAAACGGGCAGCCCGGCTACCATGACTCTTTTTCTCGATTCTCGAAGAGATTCTCCACGACGATGACTGTGCGGCTGCGCGGCTGGTTGGCAAATGAAACGAGCCAAAAGTCGCGGGCAAAACTCAGCCGGTCGGTTGGTCGGTTGGTCGATCGGTCGGTCGGAGAGGAGAAAGCCAAGCCCCGTCTTCAGGCCCCTTGGCTTTTGGCCCGTAACGCTGCGCTGCGCCTCCTCTATAAAGCTAACCCCCCAGCCGACCTGTTGAACGTTCTGGTAACCCAAACAACCAGCCATCTTCTTAACTGGCCTTGCGACAGTTATCGAGCCATGCCAAATTGCCGATCTAATCGTTAAGTGCTGGAAAAATTATGGAATCGAAAGTACAGAAGGAAAGAATACCACAAAATATGGCCAAGTCTTGTATGTACATTGTGCACACAGGTGACCATTTATTTGGTTAACTCTGGTCTAATGTTTCACATATTTTATCATAAAAACACTTGAAAAAACAAAAATCCTGAAAAAAAAATAAAAAAATATATTAAATTGGAATATTATAAAGCGTTTTTTTGATCAATAATATTTATATTTTAACTTTTTCCTTTTAGTTTTTTTTTCTCTGAATTTTGATCAAAAAATCAAATAGTAGCCAATACTTTTTAAGCAAACAAATTTAACAAATAAAATTGTTAAGACAATGAGCCTAAAAAATATTTTATCTGACCAACTGAAACCAAGAATAATTTAATTTAAAAAAAATTATATTTAGTAAAAAAAAAAAATAAATAAAAAAATATTATATATTAACATATATATATATAAATTAAAAATAAATACGAATTAGGTACCAATTGAATATAATATTTGTAAAATCATGATTAAATTTCGAATTATTTAATATTTTAATTTAAATATTTTCAAAGTTAATTGAGAGATTTTCGCTCAGTGTTCGTCTGTGTGAGCTTGAGTGCTCCCCAAGTGATTCGGCTTTGTGGAGGCACGGGAGGCATCCCAGCAGATCGGATGAGCCAGCATGTGGTGGCAATCTCAATCTCGGCCAGGTCATTTGTTCGAGGTACACACTATATATATACGATGGTCCGTGGTATATGGTATGTGCAACTGATGACCCACTTGGACGAAGCACCGCTCTTGCCTTTCTGGAGGATCAGGCGCCGGAGGAGGTGGGCCAACAGGTCGGACTTGTCCAGTGGAGGAGGGGCGGGGGGCGTGGCACAGGCTCTAAAAGCCAACATTAAATTGCTGGCAATGACTATGACGACAATTCAATCCGATGGCTCATGGAATGGAATGGAATGGACAAGGAATCGCAATAAATTAAAAGGAAATTGTCATTAGTATGTGGGAAAAAATCGATCAGCTATAAAATGAAAAAAAAAATGTAGGTATGAGGTGGAAATAAATAATATAAATAATTGTAAAAAATATTTTTATAAAAAATATATTCGAGTTACCATATAAATTTTGATCCATTTCGGCAGTTTTAGATCATTATTTCGCTTTCGCAAACGGTGACAATGGCGTGAAGTGACTTGGAACAGTCGCAGAATGTTGAGAGTTAAGAGATCGAGATCGAGATCGAGATTTCCGTTTCGGTGATACGGTGACAATGTCTCAATCCGCACAGGCGACTCTTCAGATCTTTCACTTTCTACGCATTCTGTAATTAAATCTGATTATGTACTTCTTTCTTTAGTTGTTGGTGACTTTCCCCCGAGGGGCGGTGACCCCGCCCTTAAAATCAGGTATGTCTATCTGTCACTGGGTAATTACCAGCACTAAGACAATAATATTCCCTGCTTATTCGTACTTACTGGAGCGTCACTAAAAAAACGTTTAGCGTTTCGAGCCAACGGCAATTGACGAAAACGCTTCGAAAACGAAAACGCCTCATGCGAATAAAGGGGGGACTGCCCGTATGACTTTTAATAACAATAATCCACCGAATAATATAAACAAAAGCCGCACTCGCACTGGGGAAAGACAGCGAAATAAACCGCCAGGCACTTTTAATTGCAAGTTTTCTTTTTGGCCGGCGATCTAAACAGAAGCCAAGCATGTCAGGGGTTCCACATAGATGTCTAGATATAGAGATTATATTATATAGGTATAGCTATACCAGAAGCAGAACTACCTGTTTTGGATGAGTTAAGAAGTTGAAAGACTTTTTTGCGACGTTGAAAGGGAAAGTCAACGGGCATTTACATAGCTTGGTGCTTTTTGAAAAATAAAAATAATTATAAAATAAATAAAAACGTGAAAACCATTTTAAATTACTTAATGTATTATTGCAAATATTTTTAATCTTAAGAAGGTGTTTTAAAATAAACCAAAATAAATCCCACACAACATAAAAAAATAATATTTTAATGCCTTTAAAATCTTGGCACGCGATAGTGGAAAATTTTCACGTTTTCTCATAAATTAAGCTGCTTTTAGAGCAACAAAAACAAACTATATATTTATTTATACACACCCAATGGAATGCTCAACCCTCAAAAAGATGATCCAGCTTATAATGATAGAAATTTCTGTTCAGCTTATTCAGAATATAATTGAAAACCATTAGCTGAAGTTCGACGACATTTAAATGAAAACAATCCATATATAAATTAACCGGCTAGAACATTTTATTTATTTTTATTAATTTATTCTTGTTTTGTTTCAAAAGAATTATGAGGCATTGACAAGACAGAATATTAAATACACTATAAAATTATTTAAGGAAATTATAATATTACTTATATCATTTAAAAAGGGTACAAAAAAAAAAAATAAACAAATTTATAAAGCTTGAATTTTAAAATATAATCTTTGCATTTTGCCAAATAAATTTATCTTTCGTAAGAGTATTATGTATATACACTTTCGATCCCATCACGTTCTGGCTAGATTGTATTCGTCATTGGGTCGGCTGACCCAAAATGTGATTCTTTCTATATCTATATCTTTCTATCCATGGTAGAAGCGAATCATGCCAAATCAGAGGACAACGGTCGATCTTCTGAGGTGGCCAGGCGTATATCTATGGGTTTATGGTCTAACCATATATTCTCAAGGCCAGGGACAGGGGTCCCAGGGTCGAACTGGCGCTTCTTTGTGTTCTGAGGTCGCCGCCCGTCTCCAATTGAGCGATCTGCTCACATAGTTGGCGTGTGTACCGCAATAGAACCCCATGGAAGGGGATATACACTGGAAGAAACGTCAACGAACAGCTTATTTAGGCTAATTATATATTTTAGTAAAGTCAAATTAAGTCTTTTAATATTTTCATGCTTGTAGTTTTAAATAGAGAATAAATAGAAATTTGTTTTATTTTATATTTGGTAATAATTTTTCATTGTGCACATTTATTAATGAAACTCTTTGTTCTCTCACCGCTTTAATTTACTCTTATACAAATCAATAATAATAAATGACATTTTAAATAGTGCATTCAAAATTGTTTAATAACTGTGCAAATAATTGTTTAATAAATGTAATGGTTTCATTTTGCCATTGGCTTCTTAAATAAATAACAAGTCTGTTATCTTCTTGCCAATTTATTCCATTCATTAATTGACTTCATTCACTTGTGGCCAGCGCCACCTGTGGCTAGCTATGCGAACTATATTATTTAATTATAACAGCTGATCGACAACCTGTTGGTCAGCCATCTCTTTCGCACTCCCATCTGGCGAATTTCTTTGTAATGAGCCAGCAAAGGAGTGAGCGAGAGAGAGATCGTGAAAGAGAGGTGAGGTGAGGGAGATGCTCTCTTCCAATTTCTACACTCGCAAAAATGAGGAAAGTCATCATGTGTTGCAAGATCCGCATTTTTAAGAAGAAATTTAAAAGAAGGGCGCAAATTTTAAGTTAATAATATTTGTCAATAAAGTTAATAAATAATTTAAACAAATGATTCCGGAATCACTTGTTAATGAACTTAATTTAATAAAGGGCTAGTACATAAATGATGGAAAAGCGTAGAAATATTTACATTGGTTGTCTTTTTGTTAATACTAAAGTTGAATGTACGATTAAGTATAGGAGAAAAATTTAAAAATAAAAATGTATTAAAAATTAAAACACTTTTTCAAAAGTGTTTTTTTCGTTAAATTCTGAGACACTTAATAAGGAGGATATTTCCTAAATAGATATGTATATATTTTTTGGAAAGTCCCTATATAGTTGGTCATTTATTCGCCGAGTGTACCGCCACCTATCTCACTCCCACTCGCTGCCAGTCCGCCTAACCAAACGATTGTCGCCGCTTCGCCGGTCGTCAGTCTTGAATTTTTCGTGGAGCGATTAACACACAGTGAACACAGATCGTCAAAGGCTGAAGAAGCCCAGAATCTAACCGCATCCGCATCCTCAGCGAAAAATAAAAAATAAAAGACAAACAGCTTAGATCGGCGGCCAAATGCAGCCTACGAAAATAAATCATTAAGATCAAGAACAGGCAAATTACGTGCGTTTTTTCTTGACGTCTGGTTTTTTTTCCGTTTGTTTTGCTTAATTTTTTGACCGACTTCTGGGACAAGAACAACACGAAGAGCCACAACAACAGCAACAACATGGATGCCGAGGTGTGTAATTAAAATGCAATCGTTAAATTTAAGACACATGCCTAAAAAAAGAAAACCCAAAACGCAAAAGTGAAACCCAAATAAACGCCGAAAAAGAGCCAAGAAAAAAAACAGAAAAATTACGACGCACAACAAAACGAGTTAATTTTGCCGGTTGTCAAACAACAACAAAAACTCAAATTCAAAGGCAAAAATCAAAAACACAGACAATTTATTTTGGTAAAAAGAAAAAAAAAATCAACAAATGTTTTAAGACAGCTGTTGCATTTTTCTTGGTCAAAAACAGAGTTGGGGGTGCATTTTTTTCAAGGGGGTATTTTTTACAGCCGATAAGCCAGTTTAATTACAGCAATTTAGCAATGAAATGTGGTAAAATAATATAAATGCAAACCCATTAAGTATGCAAACAATTGTATAAACATCGGAATAATGTGAATGACTGGGAAGTTTCGTTTTTAAAGGGGGGTTACTATAAATAGCTCTGAATATTTATAATGAAATAATAATAATATTCATTATTAAATGCATTTAGATCTTATTATTATTTCCAATTACAATTTACCTCTATAAATTAAAGCACCTTACAGGAATTAATTTTTTATCGCTATAAGCCTTTAATATTGGCATCAACTTCCGTTAAACGAAATCATTGATTAGTGCGAAATTCCTGCTTATCTGGTGGCTTGGATTTATGGATCTGCTGTCACTTATCGTCAATGAAAGATTACTGATAATTTATGGCGACGACAAAATAAAAACCCCTTTCAGCTGACGCCCCTGAATTTTGCTTAGTTACGCCTGAGGTATTTGGTCTTTTTTGCCGCCTGAAAATGCAAATGATGGAAAATGGAAATTCACACACTTTTATGCATTTACACGTGATCAAGGTCAGAACTTGTTCTGGACCAGACACCAAACACTATTTTATATTTATCTCGATCCGTACACTGCTAAACATTCTTTTAACCAATTATTATAATAGACAATATTTAAAAGAATTTATATTATTTTTAGAAATAATTCAATTTTATAAATATAAGGAAAACCATTGCCATAAAAGCAAATATCAAATTTCATGGAATTTTTTTTCCGAATGCATTTGTGTGGCGTACAAAAGCTTTGCCAATAAAGGCCAATCAAGGTTCCCTTTGAGCTTGCCAGATTTCCGGCAACATTAATAAAAGAGAAATTAAACATTTTTTGTGTGGCTCCCAAGTGCAGTGAACCCTCGAAAGAGCGACCAGGCACCGTGAGGCGTGGAAAATTTTCCACTCGAAGATATTGCTCAATTCAAGAAGCAAAAAAAAAATACGAAAAAAAAAGAAGGGAAATGAGACCGCACATAAATAATATCAGTGCGGCCCTGTTGACAGTTTGCCAATGGGGGCTGCCATGGGTTAAGAGGGGGGGGGGACTGTTGGGGGGTTGGGGGGTTGGACCACACCACGCACTCGAAGACGGTTGTTCTATCTGGCTATCTGGTTATCTGTCATCAATTGACGGCATGCCACTCTGCTTTTCCATGGTAAAAGTCTGGTCTAGATTAAATCAAGTTGAAGCTGTTCAAGGGTATGGTAGTGACCACCCCTTTCCCCTTCCCCGCTCACCACGCCCATGGCCTACCTCTATAGTTTTTTCTTATTTAATTAGTGACAGAACGAAAAAAACAGTCTCTTGAATGCTGCCTCTTTTAATACCCTAATATAAATATATTTGATTTGAAAACATAATTTGTAATACCAAATTTCTCTAATAAATTTTGCATTTAGTTGGAAAATTTAATAAAATTATTTGAATATAATAAACAGTTATTTAAGATCAGTCAAAACTCCTTCCATATTCATAATGCCCAGTGGGCAGTGTAGGATCATAGCAATTAACACTTTGTCTTAACTACTTTAACTGCCGATAAGCAACGGAAATAATTGTCTAGATTTACACAAGGCTTCGGGCCAACTATGTGGAGTGCCCTTTTAAATATCACGTATACGTCAGGGGCGCCATGTCCTCCAGCTGATTGCGTATACCACATGTGGGACCATAATAATCTAAACGAGCTTTCGAGACAAAACGAATGATAGGCAGCGAAAGCAAAATCAGTTTGGCGATAAGTCGCTCGTTATTTACGACACTTAAGATTCACTTAGAGCCCTCGATAGATCTACGTCCTATATGGTATATAAACATCGTACATATTAGGTAGCTGGATGGTAACAAGGAATCGAGAAAACGAAACTGTGACACTTTCGACAACTTCGTTTGTTGTCCAACTGACAACAAAGTGGCCCATAAATCATCGGCCATCTATCTCAATTAAGGCATCGATATGTTTAATATTGCAGTCATAGTTCCTTGATAGCAACTTATCGATGGCGATTTAAATATTGTGAATGAACGTGGGTTTTTCCTATTTATCAAATGAATAGCTAAAGAACGTGATGGGATTCTATTACAAGGCACGAATTGATGGGAAATGGTTTAAATGAGGCAATTTTACAAGCAGGTTTCTTTCTTTATGTACGAATTAAGGTAAAAAAAATAATATTTTTTTTTATTTATTTCTTTTTTTTTTTTTTTATTATTGAAGTTTTAACAACGCAGTTAGCAGGTGTTCAAGACTATCTACAAATTTCAATTAGAGACAGGCTATAGGCACGTGCTATAGACATAGATATAGATATAGACAAAGATATCGGTTGGTTGGTCTGTTGGCAAACGTTCGGGTGTCATCGAAAGGCCAACTATCTAGCCGACACTAAATATAGATAGATAGAGACATAGATAGATAGCATTTAGCTTACTCTGTATGTAGTTTGGCTTTTATGAATCCGTTTAATTGGCTTTGATTTAGTTTGTGGCCTTGTTTATGGGCCTCTTATCACCGAAATATAGGGAGAACTTTTCCATCTGTCGCAATGCTTTGGAAATCCCCGATTTAATTTATTGCACGATACCAAATTGTCCAGTCATGTGGAATTAAATATGTGCACGAGTTGATCTGTGATTCCCCGGATAAGAGAGCTACGTCTATGAACTTGATCATGGAGACTGACAGGCGGAAACACTTGAGGGACTGGCGATTTTATCGGTCAATTAAAAGCCACCGACAAGCGAATCGAGCTAAATTTTCCCCTATATATATGTATACTTTAATTTATATTTTAAGCTTTTGTTTTTTGTTTTATACCTTTTAACCAAAAGGCGCCGAAAAATCCGAATGCAACAGTTCCGAAACAGGAAACTGTGGAGGGAGGAGCGACAGGTGGAGCAGCCAATCTGGCCAAGAAGGAGGAGCACGATGCGGACTATCATCCGCCTACAAGGTATGGCTGCTTGTGGCGAAACCCCCACTGCTTGCTCCTCTTAAACCCACCCAATAAACCCACCCCAAAACCAACAACTAACCGAAACCCCGCTCGCACTAACCTTCGACTAAGCTTAGGATAAGAGTAGCTAGTTTAAGTTTCAAGTGAAAGCAATCCTACGCATAAACCTAAATCCCGAACTCCTGCCTTAACCAACTAACCCTGCTTACGAATCATGCTTGAATCAATCCTGACTCCCAGCTTCAAACCAACTAATTTGAATACTGACAACGCTCCTGTAATGCGTAACTACTAACCTCGATCCCAACGAGATTCCTTCTCATGGAATAAGTACTAAATCCCAAAAACCCCAACCCAAAGATGATCAATAACCGTCTATAACCTAACTGATCCTATCATTGGATGCCAGCGCTATAAAGAAACCTACTAACTTTGGTCCTAACGATAAACGAAAGGAGTTATCACATCTACTTATAAGTGAAAATACCCAATTCCTCCATCTAAGATCCCCGAAAATCCCAAAAGATGATATCTGTGCTCCAAAGTAATTCAAGCTATTTGGAAACCTACTAACCTCGATCCCAAAGAAATCCCTTCTCATGGAATAAATACTAAATCCCAAAAACCCCAACCTAAAGATGATCAATAACCGTCTTCCTATAACCTAACTGATCCCATCATTGGATACTACCGCTATAAAGAAACCTACTAACTTTGGTCCCAACGATAAACGAAAGGAGTTATCACATCTATCCAGTTCCTCCATCCAAGATCCAAAACTCCCCAAAGATGATCTCTGTGTTCCAGTGTAATTTAGAAACCTACTAACATCGATCCCAAAGAAATCCCTTCTGATGGAATAATACTCCGAAAACCCCAAAGAAACCTACTAACTTTGGTCCCAACGATAAACGAATGGAGTTATGACATCTACCCATAAGTGAAGATACCCAGTTCCTCCATCAAAGATCCCCGAAAATCCCCAAAGATGATCTCAAGCTATTTGGAAACCTACTAACCTCGATCCCCAAGAAATCCCTTCTGATGGAATAATACTCAGAAAACCCCAAAGAAAACCCACTAACTTTGCTCCCAACAATAACCGAATGGAAAGACCCAACCAAAGACCCCTTAACCCCAAGATGATCTGTGTACTTAAAGCTATCTGGAGACGATCGTGCACCTGTTCAAGGGCAACATTGGACCCGGTCTGTTCGCCATGGGGGATGCCTTCAAGAACGGCGGTCTGCTGGTGGCTCCGCTCCTCACAGTGGTGATAGCGGTGGTCTCCATCCACTGCCAGCACGTCCTGGTCACCTGTTCGAAGAAGATGCGGGATCTCAGAGGAGAGACCGTGTGTGCGGACTACGCCCAGACGGTGGAGCAGTGCTTCGAGAATGGGCCACCCAAGTTGAGGGGCTGGTCCCGAACTATGGGACGTCTGGTGGACATATTCATTTGTGTGACCCAGCTGGGCTTTTGTTGCATCTACTTTGTGTTCATCAGCACGAACCTGAAGCAGGTGAGTTGGATTGGGAATAGGAGCACAGGAAGAGCAAACTAAATCTGGAATCCATCAAAAGATCCTGCAAGCCTACTCCATTGATATGAACGTCCATCTGGTGATGCTGCTGGCCTTTGTACCGGTGCTTCTCAGCTCGCTGATCACCAACCTCAAGTGGCTCACCCCCGTTTCGATGTTTGCGAATATTTGCATGATTGTCGGACTGGCAATCACCTTGTACTATGCCTTGAAGGACGGACTGCCGGAGGTGGGGGAACGCGCCCTCTGGACGAACGGCTCCCAGCTGGCCCTCTTCTTCGGCACCGCCATCTTTGCCTTCGAGGGCATCGCCCTGGTGATGCCGCTGAAGAACGCCATGCGAAAGCCGCACCAGTTCGAGCGACCCTTGGGCGTTCTGAATGTGGGCATGTTCCTTGTCTCCGTCATGTTCATGTTCGCCGGTTCGGTGGGCTACATGAAGTGGGGTGAACAGGTGGGCGGCAGTCTGACCCTCAATCTGGGCGATACCATGTGAGTTTGGGATCTCTTGGATCGGTTCTTTGGATTCTATTTCCCTTGTTATCCACAGTCTGGCCCAGGCCGTCAAGCTGATGGTCTCCGCTGGCGTTCTACTCGGCTATCCGCTGCAGTTCTTCGTCGCCATCCAGATCATGTGGCCCAGTGCCAAGCAGATGTGCGGCATTCAGGGACGTTCGTTGTGGGGCGAGCTGGGCTTTCGCACCTTTATGGTTCTGGTGACTCGTAAGTATCCGGCTGGGGGGACCAAAAAAAAAAAAAACAGAGGAAAACTCACTGGATTCTCCTCTTAGTTGCCATTGCGGAAATGGTTCCGGCCCTGGGACTTTTCATCTCGCTAATCGGAGCTCTTTGCTCCACGGCCTTGGCTCTCGTCTTTCCGCCCGTCATCGAGCTCATCGCCAGGAGTGACCTGAACAAGGGTCCGGGCGTCTGGATTTGCGTGAAGAACCTCGTCATCCTGGTGATGGCACTGCTCGGCTTTTTCACCGGCTCCTACGAAAGTCTCAAGCAAATTGTCAAGCACTTCGGGGAGGAGGAGGTGCACTGAGAAGCTAGGGATCCCAGATCCCAGATCCCGGATCTTCCTAAGAGAGCAGACGAACAACTAATATTATACAGAACAAAGGATCGACAACTATTATTTATGAATTTACGGATTATAAAAGCATTATTACGATACCATACTCAGAAGAGATAAACACCGGACTTAGCCATGCATCATTAAATTATGACTAAAGCAACCGCGACTTAAAATATTATAGAAAACAGGATCATAGGAACTCTTCAAAATTATTATTAATCTTTTTTTATTACAAACCTAAGAATTACGATCCCCGAAACAAACAATACAGGAACACCAGAAGCAGAAGATCATCAGTATCCAAACTCGTTAGTCGATCAACCTCAATTTCAAAGCTTTAGTTAAAGATATTGGGAAATCCAAGCGCAAGCCATAACAAATAATGTAAACAGAATCACCAAACTTCACTATCTTAGAAGTATTATAAACATATCACAATCGAAAACATTGTAGAGCAATAGATTATGTACCTACTCTTAATCCTTAATTATTTACATACGTTTGCGAATTTATTATCAACAAAAGAGACACCATATATATACGTAAATATATATCTAAGTGTTTTTTTTTGTGTCTTAGTGAGCGTGCAGCGCATTTTACTTATGGTAATTGATTATTTTTTTTATAGACATTAAGTGAGAATAAACGATGCGACGTTCGTTTTGACGTCATCGCAAAATGACAAGAACCTGACAGATGTGATTTTTTTCGGGGGTTTAAGTACTTGAAATGAGAATTTCGATTAGAATGAATTTTTGGGGGAACAAAAAAATATAGCAAGAACATATATTATAGAAAAAGTTATGTTGAATATTAATAAAATAATCAAATAAATATAGTTCGCCCTTCTCTGCGCTTCTCAAGGAGTCCACTTAGGTCTTTTCCCACCACCACGCGTGTCTCGCTACGAAAAACGTGCGAATAATAGTTAAAAAGCAAATGAGCTGAATACTAATAATGTGGCGAAACGGGTTCTTCAAAAGTGTTATTACTCCAAATCAGCTTTGACATTGACCTCGTTTCAAAAGAATCCATAAATTGCTTTCTGATAGATATCGTTTGTCGACTTTCGCTTTCATCTGGAGGAAACTGGTTAAGAGCCATACCGGGAATCATATCTCGAGCTCTATCTCCCTGTATGGGAATTACACTAATCTAATCCGATCCGAACCAAATCAATCTAATCGAAACCGTTTTGCAAACGACCTTCAACTCGAACGATGAATGGAACTGCAGTGCTGTTGGATATGCATAGCGGAAGTCAGGAGCGCACAAAAGGGGGGGGTAATATTAAATAATATTAAGATCATGTGGAAATATTATAAGTAATATTTTTCATATTTATAATATTATATCTAAATTATTTTCAAAACTAAATCAATAGATATCCTAACCCTTGGCGGTGCCCCTGCTGTTTGTTATGCATTTGTTTTTAGTACCCCTTATATAATCCAATTGCTGAATTCCGTAAACATCGATCGATCGACCGATCGATCCGTTGATTGGAAGAAGTGAGATGCAGCAACCGACCGGAGAACTTTGATTCCGTGCAATTCATTTAACTGGCGCTTCTTCAATCAAGGCGGTAAATTTCCGTGCGTCTTCGATTGGATGGCCCCCGGGGGCTGGCGGGGGTTAAGGTAAAGGTGTAACGATCACGAATGCATGGTATTATATGGAATACTCATGCTACGCTTAAGAATTCGATGCGATGGGCACGTGCCGGTTTTTAAATCAAGTCGAAAGCCGAATTTCGAATTCCGGAACGCGGCCGGATCCTTGAACCTGATTGAACCACTTCCTGCCGGTGAAAACCCCCACCCTTAATAATACATATATAGGTATATGTATCGGTACCCAATGTCGTGACGCAATCAGCGTTACGAATCCAACATTGTACTCTTAAAATACACTTGAATAGCCGACAGCGAGCAAATAAATAAATTACTAACTTTGAATGATGAATGACAACATTTTTACTGCCCATAAATGTACATATGTCGGCGTAGTGCCTATAAATAAATAGGGATCGCTTGAGTTTTCTAAGAATTTATAGAAAAAAGTGTGTGGAAATAAAATATAAACTCGGCTACTGAAGAAATCTAAAAAAAATATTATTTCTACTTGAGTTTGTTTGCTAGTCATTTGTAACCAATATAAACTAATTAAATAATACATTTCATTTTCATGAACAAATTCCAATGACTTTTTCTGTAATTTCCGAATGTAAATAGAAAATAAATAAACTAACATTGCATGACGAACAACCGTAGATATTGGATTTGGATCAGTATGTTTATGACTACTTTTTAGATATTCTAAAAATGATAAAAGAAATTCATTTTGCACAATGTATTTCCTTACAAAATCAGTTAAGCGTTTTTAATTACATCAGTTTAAAAACAATATAATAAAACCATCATTAAAACCAGTGACTAGAATTCTTCTTAGCCAAAGTACTGGCATTTTAAAATCACACTGAAAGGTAAGTTGAAAGCGGATTTATCCGGTGAACTCTGTGTAAAATGCCGCATTAATTACTTCAACAATTAGAATATTTCTATAAAAGACTCAAATAATTGATTTGATCAAATTCACAACTTTAAAAGTACGTAGAAGGAAATTTCATATTTTTCCTAGTAAAACAATTAAAAAAATAAAATTCATTTGCATTAATTAGAAACAATATAATTCAATTAATTTGCATCAATTAACTATTAGGTTAATCCAAAATCGTTTGTTTGTTTTGTTTATTCTGTTAATCTGATCTTGATTTCTACAATTTATTTTCAAGGGGGATTTTTCTTGACTTTTGTTGAGCTCGGAATACTAATTGTTTTAGGATCATTAAACTTTCGATTCCTTTGTTGAGCTTTACTTTATAGATAGTAAACACTAGTACTTTAGTCTAGAAATCAGAATTATTCAATGATCCATGACGCAACGCTTCTCATCTTATCGTTTATCGATGAGTGGCCGCCTGCTATTTTCCGCCTCCCAACGCTTCAATGCATTTCCCCGGTGATTTTCCACTTTCCGAAGTGACAGGTCCTCGAGGGAAAGTGAATTTCATATGGCGCTGAGTCATACAGACCACTTGCAAATGGAGCTTTCGAAACAATTACCGATAATAAGATCGAAATAGATCTCACACGGCCTCAGCCTCAGTCTCCCACGCATCTTAACCCCTTGTTTGTTGAGAATTTCGGTGACTTTAATATTTTTTAAAAAGTTGTCAAGAGCTGTTATAAAAAAAGAAATGTTTTGCTGTTCCATAAGATTTTTATTTAACAGGGGTTGCTAGGTTTATAAATTTCTGTTGATATAAATTTAAAAAAAAAATATTTTTTTAATTAAAATGTGTCTAAAATTTATTTTTTAGAATTTTTAAAACCATGACAAGTGAATTTTACTGAAAAATTATAAACCCTCTTTGGTTTTTGATATCAGGGGTGAATAGTTTTTTTAAGCGGGTGCCGGGGGTTAAACGTTATGCGCATTTTTGCATTGCTCACACAGACAGACGCCCGCTCTTTATTTTTCTATTTTTCTATATTTTCGCTTTCCGACTTTTGCCTTTTACAATTTTGCTATTCGCTTCTGTTGGCCAACTCGAGCATTGAGTCTGGTTTGAGTTCTTGCCGTGAGCGGTCCTCATTTTTTTGCCATTTTGCGATACCTCGGTGAAATATTTATTCGCAGCCATCATCATCAACAGGTGAACTTCGCTCGGCGACCGACTGAATAAATAGTTATTTAATAGTGACTTAATTGAATTAATGCTGCGGAATCTGTGCTAAGACCAAATGTGTCTGAATAAAAATATTAAAATGAAAAATGCATACATAACTCCCGCACTCCGCACGAATTGTGAATAATTAAGTGTTGTGGCCTTGACGTTTTAATTTCCAACTTCCCGGTTGTTAAAAATGTTTTGCTTTTATTAAAGTACCCGCGAGAATGCGCCAATAATTAGTTGCTTATCTCGAGTGCAGCAGCAATGTACGGATATTCAAATTAAATTAAAATTTTATAAAAAAAAAGGGCAAATTTGAAAAATATTTTCTTACATGATTTTGTGTAGTAATGTTTGGTTATAATGTAGTTTTGTACTACAAAAAAACTCACTTAAGGAAACGATAAAGTTTTGATTATATTTTTGATTGGCTGTGACATTGATTTAAGCTAGTCTAAAAGTGATTTGAATTATAATGAACTTAACGTTTTTAATTGTCCTTCAATGCTTTATTTGACTTAATAAACATGTTGCCAATGGTCAATCCATTATCATGGCAGCGTTTTTTATTGCTATGGATTTGTGTTACTTTTTTATTGGAATAATAAGACAAAAACCTTGAAATGAGTAAACACATATGTATATAATTTTTAGTAAAACCGTTTTTATAAAGGTGGGCTCTTTAGGGTTAAAGCTTGAGTTGGGAGCAAGAGAACCAATGATAAAGAAGATGCAGTGAAACGTTGAGATAACTAAATCAAAAATTGTGCTGTCTTATTTTATATATGTATGTATTATGATCATTTATGGGGCTAACTGTGCTTAGTCGCCCTTTTCTCTCCACGCGACTACCGTTAAAGCTTCCCCACAGACCCAAAAAGAGAACCAAGAAAGAGAGCACCCAAAGTAATTAGTAAAATTTTCCATTTAAACCCCTCAGCGCAGCGAAAAGAAAGCAATCGAAGCAGCCGGCGAAATGGGCAGGACACTGGAGATAACCGGAAAGCAGCAGGAGAAGGAGAAGAATCCCAATCTGGAGAAGAATCCGAATTCCGATCAGGAGAAGGGGGATCCGGAGAACGGCGATCCGGTGCGCAGGCGCGGCCACGAGACCAGCGAACTGGAGGCGGCCACCCATCTCTTCAAGGGCAGCGTGGGCGCCGGACTCTTCGCGATGGGCGATTGCTTCAAGAACGGCGGACTGGCCGGGGCCACCATCCTACTGCCCATCATAGCGGTGATGTGCGTCCACTGCGAGCGCATGCTGATCCGCGGATCCGTTCTCGCCGTGGAACGGACGCCCGGAGTCGACTTCCTCGACTATCCGGAAACGGTGGAGAAGTGCTTCGAGCACGGGCCACGCCCACTGAGGAAGATGTCGCGGGTCATGAAGCTAGTCGTCGAAATGTTCCTCTGCGTCACGCAATTCGGATTCTATAAGCAGAAAGAAAACTATCAAAATTATTACAAATATCACCCATTAAGATAAATTTAGTTTTAAAGATATTAGTTTCTGGAAAGGTATCAAAAATATTTTTGAAAAGTGTTGTAAACAATTAAAAATATAAAAGGGTCATGATTTTTTGCGAATAATGCCCAAAAAATAAAATGTCCAGGTTTAAACGCCAATCGATTGGAAATTTAATAACGAGTTAAGAAAGGTATGACAATCCATATTTGGATCAATATTTTCATTGTTATTATTATTTTTTTTTTTTTTAAATTGGGATTTGGCTTTTTGGTAAAAATATGAATTTTTCCTTGTCGTTTTTTTGCTGTAACTTGGCCAAAAATGGTCCTACACCAAAAATACGCACTGTTTTGAACAGATAACAAGATAATAAATAAATCCATGACACTTTCCAAGTGATTTTGTAAAAATAAAATTTTGGTCAATTCTCCATTTTTTTATAAGGATATATAAAATAAAATGTCCAGGTTTTAATGCTAATCGATAGGAAATTTAATAACGAGTTCAGAAAGGTATGACAATCCATATTTGAACCAATACTTCCATTGTTACGGTCAAAAAAACAATTATTTTTTTTGTGGAAAGCATTTAGTATTATAAAAAGCATTATATATTTATTATGTTTTGCAGGTCCTGCAGCAGAACGGCGTCGACATCAGCATGAGCATGGTGATGCTGATCACTTTGCTGCCGGCGATGATTCCCTCGCTGATGACCAACCTCAAGTACATCTCGCCCGTCTCGCTGTTCGCCAATGTGGCGCTGCTGTTTGGATTGATTGCCACCCTGACCATCGCCTTCTCGGACGGGCCGATGCCGTCGATTGGGGACCGGCACCTCTTCACGGGCGGCGCCCAGTTGTCCCTGTTCTTTGGCACCGCCCTCTTCTCCTACGAGGGCATCGCCCTCATCCTGCCGCTCCGGAACTCGATGCGCCGCCCGGAGAACTTCAGCACCCGGTTCGGGGTCCTCAACTCGACCATGTTCTTCACCACGGGCCTCTTTATTTTCACCGGATTCGTGAGCTACGTGCGATGGGGCGAGGAGGTAGCCGGCAGCATAACGCTGAATCTCGTGGTGGAGGAGGTGTGAGTATAAATCTAATAATATTATATTTTAAAAATTTTATAATTTAATTATAATAATAATTTTAATTTTCATTGCAGATTTTCGCAGGTGGTGAAAGTAGTCGCCGCTCTGGGCGTTTTCCTGGGCTATCCCATCCAGTTCTTTGTGATGATAAAAATCCTCTGGCCGCCAATCAAGCGGACAAATAATTGCTCTCAAAAGTATCCCATTACCATGCAGGTGTGTCTGCGTTTTTTCATGGTGATGATGACATGTAAGTCGAAAATTAGACTAAAAATAAATTCATAAAAAATATATAAACAATTAAATTTTACAAATATTTTTATGATAATAATAGGAACAAAATCAATATGTGAATTTAATAATACTAAACAAGTTGTATTTATCTAGTAGATAGTATATTTAACTCATTTCTGGTATATTTATCTAGTTTCTAGTATATTTATATACTTTCTGGTATAACTATCTAGTTTCTAGTATATTTATATACTTTCTAGTATATTTTTCTAGCTTCTAGTATATTTATATACTTTCTAGTATTCGTATCTAGTTTCTAGTATATTTATATACTTTCTGGTATATTTATCTAGTTTCCAGTATATTTATATACTTTCTAGTATATTTTTCTAGTTTCTAGTATATTTATCTAGTTTTTTTTTTTTTAATTTCAGTTGGCGTTGCGCTGGTCGTTCCCAAGCTAAATCTGTTCATCTCGCTGATCGGGGCTCTGTGCTCCACCTGTCTGGCCTTCGTGATCCCGGTGCTGATCGACTTTGTCACGCGGGCGCCGGTGCCCAAGGGCCTGGGGGTGTGGTCCTATATCAAGAACATCCTCATCCTGACGGTGGCCGTGCTGGGAATTGTCACCGGCACCTACCAGAGCATCGTGGAGATCGTCAAGGAGTTTAAGTAGACCTTAATCGCTAGCAAGTATGTTGTTTTTTTTTTTTTTACATAATTAATGCCTGTGTCATTCCTGTTAATTTCTGTATGTGAATGCTTCGCCCTGCTCTATTGTAAGCTTAATTCCTATACCGTGTATTTTTTTCCATTTTTTTTTTATTATTGTTGATAGTTATAAGCTGTGCATTTGTATGTATGTATAAACATGTTTATTGGCATTCTAATCGCATAAAGAAAAGAAGCATAAAAGAGAGTGATCTGCAGCAAAAACCCGATTTTAATAAATGATTACCCAAATGGCTTTGATTATTTCGGAGCCTTAAATTGAAATTAATTATCGTTAAAATAATGTGTACAAAAAAATTGTCTATCATCGATTTTATAAATATAGTGAGATTTATGTAAAGTATTAATTAGCATTCAGCAAACAATGTTTAACAACGCTACTAGCCATTAAGTTTGCCTAAAATGTGAATATGCGCTTTTCAAAGCGTACAAATCAATAAAAAAAATACCACAATAAATTGTAATTTAATTTATAAAATCTCGTTGGCATTTATTAATTAACTCTCTCAAGTCGGCAGTATTTTTTCGGTGTATTTATTTTAACAGTCTACATCCCAGGTCCCGATAGACTCTTCTCCATGAACTTCTTCTTGGCGAAGCATATCCACCACTTGCTGGGCTTGTCATCTGGAGTATCGAAGACCTTCTCGAGCAGCCGCGTTCCGGTTTCCTGGCGCAGTTGCAGGAAATACTGACGCATCACTTCCGGATCCTCCGGCTTCGTGTATATCGCGTTCAGGGGGAATCCCGCATCGCCGGGCAGATCGAACCGGGAAATGGCCAGGCTATGGAGCTCCTGCTGGCCCTGCGATTTGCTAGTGCAGCGGGCCAAACGCTTCAAACATTCGGTTATGTACAGCGTTATGTAGATAAGCACACGGTCCACTTCCGACTGCGATTAGATATGGTATAGGGGTTATTTTGAGCGTCGGAATCAATACAACAGTTGGGATTGAGAGGTGTATACAAAAAATAATAGTATGGAAATATTTTTAAAATAAGTGCTAAAATGTATAGTGGTTTTTTTTTTAAATATTTGTTAGATTACAGTAAAGATTTTTTAAATTGAATTATTTAATTTTTTTATTTTAAACGTTTTTGTAAAGGAATTCTTTATATAGTAATTGTGATAACATTCCAACAAACATTCCTAAGCTATTTGGATTAGTAATCAAAATATTGTGGGAAATTCTTCGAAATATTTTATTTTATTTTTTTATTTTATCTCTGTGCCCATTTCTTTGTTCAGTTACTAACCTTAACTTCGTATGTGCGAAAGAAAATGTTTGACTTCCAGAAGTACAGTGACTCATCGATGATATCGTTGGGAATATCAACATTGGGCGCTGGTCCTCGGATTTGTGTACGTAACGGTAGGATGGCCATGTTGCCCACCGATCCTTGGAAATCCTCAATCTCCGAGTGGAAGGCCTGGGATCCATTCCAGGAAAAAAAACAAGGTGGGTTGTAGAACAAGAATTACTTATTCATGTTATTTTTATTTTTACATTTCCATGTTACTCACCGGCATTTTTTGTATATTTTTTTGTGCTTCAACCGTTTAAAGAAATGAAAAATAAAAATAGTTTTTATCAGTACTTCTAGTGATGTGAAAATGTTATCTTTTTGAATAAACGGACCAACGTCGTTTTGTTTTACACTGTTCTTAGTGCTGGCAGTATTTGGTATATTTATGTGAATACTAATTTTTAAACAAGCTCTTTAATATTTTTAAGCTACGTTTTTGACAATTGTTATATTTTTAGTTTGAGTTAATAAAATATTTATTTTGAGAGCGATCTATTTTTTAGTTGAGTTTTCTACCATGGTTTAAGTCCGTGCTTAATTGTTTGGCGATGTTTAGAGATGTGGACGTGAGCAAAGTTTTAGTCCAGTGACTCATCGATATATATAACATATAAATTCTATATCAGTACTTCTTGGTAATGTGAGAATGTTATCACGCTGTCGTTTTTTTTACCGTATCACCGTTATCTTATAAAATATATTGAATTGAATTGCATTACTAGTAAATGCTTGTGTTTTGTTTTTAGATCACTGCTCCAACGAGACGAGGACAATTTGGAGGTCTAAGATCCAAAGCTCAAGAACTCGAGTGATTAGTTGTAAAAAAGCAAACGGCTTTAAATATCCACAGATCAAATATCTACATATTCAAATGTCTGAGTACGAATGGCCTTTTGTAATGACTTGCAAGGGTTTCGTTTGGGTGTTTTTTTTTAGCCCATTTGTCAGTATATGGGCTTGGTATTTAGCTATAGGATTTTCCTATATCTTTAGTTTTTTTTTTGATTTAATATATGGACTTCTTACTGTGATACCGTGGTCTGCTAAATTTTTTCCACAACGTTTTGGTAACCTTTTTCGTATAATTATTTCTTGGCTCTTTCATATTTTGGCTTTAGTTTATTTTGCTTTTACCATCGAATATAAATACTTCAAATAAATTTGTAATGTACAAATGTACAAACAATAAATAATTAATATACAATAAAAAAAATACTATACTTTTCTTTTCGCTCAGCACATAAATAGAAATTAAAGCCCTCTTTATACAAAATAATCTTGAATTTTAATAGGAATGCATATTTTAAAAGCGCGCCCAATTTCAAGCTTTTTTCTTGTTTTCAACCAAATTTTGTTTGCCTTCGTGGTTTGAGTCCTCGCTTAATTGTTCTGCGATGTTTTGAGATGTGCAAAGCTTTAGTAGTTTTCTTAACACTAAAATAAAAAAACAAGTAAAATTTTAAACAAAAAAATCACGCAAAAAGCTTAGAAATCCATCTCTAAAATTCGACTCGTGGACCGGCACTAGCCACAATTTGAAACCCATCTAGACGGATCCCTCGCTCTTCGGACGTTCCAGGCAAGTGAAGTTAGTGTAATGTAACATAATAACCGTAAGATAAAAACCATAAAAAAAAACCATAACTAAATAGTTCCTCCTACTAATGAGTTTTCCGATCCAGACTTAAAAGCTGAGTTGGCGATAACCCATATCAGTGAAATGGATCTTGAATTCATTATCTGCTAAAATATTTGGAATTGCATTAAGCTCACCAATGCTTGTTTGTGTTTCGTTTACAGATCACTGGGCCAACGAGACGCAGGCAATTGGAAGATCTGAGATCCAAACTCAAGTTGTAAACTCTAAACTCCATGACTAGGACCCTTGACAATTTTGCCAGCCTTTTGGTTTGGCTTGTAGTTGGAATTTTTGTTAGGCACTTTTTCCGACCACTTGCCAGTCTTTTCGCTTGGCTCTTGGGTTGGCTTATTGGCAGGCTTATTGCCAGGCTTTTTGCTAAGCTTTTCGCCAGGCACTATGCTAGGCTTCTGGCCAGTCGTTTAGCTAGGCTGTTTCCTCGGCTTCTGGCTAGACCTTTTTTCAGGCTTTTTTCCAGAATTTTTACTTCGCTCTTTGCCAAGCTTTTTAGTTTGCTTTTTAACAGCCTTTTTGCTGGGCATTTTGCTATGCTCTTTGAAAGCGCAGTACTAGATGTAAATGTAAACAATTAATAAATTTATGTACATTAACAAAAATTGTTTATATGCTCTACTTTATAAATACGAATTGAAACCCCTTTTAAATGAAAAGAAAATATTAAATTATAAAAAAGGAATGCCCTCTATGGTTCGAGTCCCTGCTAGGGGAACAGCTAGAGATGAGCATACGATATATTTGGTATAATTTATCTACAGCCACAGCGGTCACACCGTTATTATTCCAATTGTGTTTGTTGCTTTGCTGAATTCGGTTGAGGAAAACGCTTGTAAAGTTCAATTATCGTCGGCGTATTTATTTACCTTTTTGCGCCCAACTCACCGCGTTCTGTTTTGATTCCTTTTTTTTGCCAATCGAGTGCCTGTTGCCTTCCTACACTGAGAGAAATCTGAATATACACGATAATGCGGGCGAAGCGGTGGAATTTAATTGCAAATCGCATTTTATCCTTGGCTGATTGCGGTTTCCTTTTCGCCGTTGTTGTTTTTGTTGTTGTGTGCAGCAAATAAAACTCGTTTCACGCGCCAGTGTGTATGTGTGTGTGAGCGCGGAGTGTGCGTGTGTTGGTGTGTTGTTTGTTTGTTTGCGCGGCTTTTTTTTTGTGATTACTGTTTTTGTTATTATTGGATGCAAATTTGACAAAAACAGTGACAATTTCGAGGAATTCAACAAGAAACAGCAACAGTTGACGCCGGAGAACGTAAGGTAAGTTCTTAATTTCATTAAAACCAGTAACAAAAAGTAACTACTGTTATCCAGAATGTTTTCTCATTTCAATTAAAATGTAAATAAATTTCAAGTAAATAAAAAGAAGTAACTGCAACGCCCTTGGCAGTCGGGTGAAATGCAATACACTCAAAAAAATCAATATACCTTAAAAAAACATATTATCATTAAAAATTTCTTTAAATAATATTGCGCATTTTATGGTAAAATTTCCAACATTTTATTTTAAATAACAAAATTTGTCATCTCTAAATTGTTGTTTTACGACAAAAAAGTTCTACATTTTAATACATATTTCCATTTTTTATTTCTAAATTAACATGCTGACGAGAAATCGTCCCCAACTTCAGTTAATTGCTTAATTTCAGAGTCCTAAATTTTTGTTTTTAAATCAAGAGATTAAGATAAACATATTTTAGGGAGGGAGAGCAAATAGATAAGATTATTTGGTTGCCCAGCTCAGTCGCTTTCTACTAAACTCTATACTCTATAAGTATTTATTTTTTTCCAAATCTTAACTATGGATTTTTTTTAATGGTTTTGGTAAATGCATTTCTGATCTGTTAACTGTTAGGATGTGGGAAAAACTTCTTTTTCTCCGTGCAGAGAAAGAAAGAAAGAAAAGGCGAGCCAAGAAATGATGACAAGAAGAAGAAGCAGAAGACGAGGCTCTTGGCCCGACTTCCAAATCAAATGGAATTTAGCCGGTTTCCATAAAAAGCAGCTCAGACAGGCGGGAAAGAGAGGAGGGATGGGATTCTCGAGTGAGTGAGTGAGTGAGTGAGTGAGTGGGTCAGTTGTAGTGGCTGCGGCTGGCGAGGGTTAAGCGGCGGCCTTTCCGGGGGCCATCGGGGGGTTAAGGCGGCACGGGGAGTTGCGAAAGTTGCGCGTTTCTTTTGCCTTTTCCTTTGGGGCGTGGCCACCAGTGCCACTGCGATGCAACAACAATGAACTCCGAACTGGCTTTAACCTCGGAATGGATATAGATATGGATGCACTCTATAAGCATGGGTTCTGCATTTCATAAATGTTCCTTGCTTTTTTTTTAAATCTTAAATTTTTACATTATTTAATTGCATTCAAATTTTTATAAGTTGAAATAAATATTTGCATTTGCTTACACATTTTGTATTTATTAATTTAAATGTTTAAAAATATCTAAAATGATTTTTAAGACAATTTTCATATGTTGCATGAAAGAATTGTAACAAATTTTAAATTATTCAACAAAGCACTTAATATATATTTTAAATAATTGTGGGTTTTTAGCATTTCAAGATTAAAAGTAGCAGTATTTTTGCAAGAATTCATGTTACCTTATATTTAAGAAATGACATTTTCATAATTTTTAGCTTATATTAGCTATTTCATCTTTGTGATGTGTTTACTAAATAAAATATAAAATAGAAGCCAGTTTGCATCTGTCATTTCGCCAACTTAAGCTAATATCCAGCCAAGTTAAATTGAAAATTTAAGAAAAAAATGAAAGAAAATCTGCGGCTCAGAAGTAGAAAGTAGATGGTAATTACTGCATAATGCCAGTGAGTTTCCGCCATCTGGTATGACGTCCAAAAGTAGTTACTATTACTATTGGATAGCCCATTCCCAGCGACTGGAATTATGTAAATTGCTCAAATTGGCATCACTGGGAATGGCAAGGCCAGCGAATGAATAGCCCGGCTAAATACACAAAACACACAAATAACCAGCGAATATAAAAAGCCGAGATACATATTTAATTATTTACCCGAGAACTTGTTCGGGGCTTATATTACCCGCAGTTCGCAGTTCGCTGTTCTTTTTTATACATTTTTTGGGCTGCGAAATTTCAAACGCGAGTGGAACGTGTCTGAGATCAGAAAAAAGGGCAAACAACAAAGGAAGGCGGAAAAAAGTCAGGCAAAACGAAGTTCAAGACGAAAATCAACGTTTGACTCGGATTATGAATACATATTGCCATTTATACACTAACTAAATAAGGAAAAAATATTTAAAAAAAATATATAAATAAAATAATAGCAATAGGCTTTTGTTTAAAATAATGTACAATTTTTCTTAGCTCCAATTGAATTAATTATTTGTTAAACTAAATTAAAAGTCATGTAAATAAATACACTTATTTATGTTACCATTTGTTAAAAGCTTGTTTAAATGTAAATTCAATTTATTTAAATCAAAACGATGTTGTATTTAATTTGCATTCAAATTCAAATTAGTAAACGGGCAATAAATGCAGCAACTTTCACCCTCAAACTGTAATTTATTGGCTTTTTATCGCCTTTAAATAATGGCCAGCAATTAAACAAACTTTAAAAGGTATCGATTTTCGATTTTAGAGCATTTTCAATTCGATTTTAAGACGCCACATTTCACTTCCTCCGTCGATTTTGCCATGTTTTTTTAACCATTTCGCTTTATTTCTTGTGTTTGCTAAATTATTGCGTTAGGTGGGCTGGATATTACTGGCTCGAATTTGTTGACTTTCCGTCGCTCGATTGTTGTCATGGCCTTATATTAATTTGTTGCCTTAGCCGGCTCGCCTAACAATTGTTTTTTCTCTTGCCGGGCTTTTTGTTTGCTCTGGCTGTTTGCCTCAAGAAATGAGCTCAGTTTAAGTTGCAGACTCTCGGCCCACGTATCTAATTAATTATTCCATTGTGACTTGGGCGCCACTGCAGAGAAAATAAAGATTTCAAGTTTTAACGAGCTGAAATTAATAGAAGAAAAATTATTTTAAAATTCCATGTATTTTTATAGTAATAGTAATACCTACCAATATGTAAAAGAAATTTTTTTAATCGGACAACTCATTCAAAAGTTATGAGAAAATAATGAATCTAAGCTGAAGCAGTGTAAGCAGTTTACTGCTTTAATAACTTCATAACTTCAACTTACATTAACTATATTTTAATCAAAAATAACTTTAGTTAAAAAAAATTAAACTGACAAATAAATCTAGTACTATATCTTCAAAGGAAAATAAAAGTCACATTTTTGGTACAATAAACTTCTGTTTAACGTGAAAAATCTCGAATTAATCCCACTCGAACATAAAAAACAAATGTTCTGCATGTCATTTGGCTCGTCTGCGGACAGCTCGTTTAAACATCAACACAACATTGGCAAAGAATAAAATTGAAGCATAAAACTCTGCTTTCGGTTTGCTTTGGCCTGCAGTTTGTGTGTCAGCAAATGGGCAAACAGATGTGGACACTTACTGAACACACTGCCTTCCAGCAATTTGCCGACCAAGCTAAATGAATGAGATGAAATTTGATTTTGGCCGGCAATTTTTTTATTGCCAAGTTGGTTTCAAATTTAGCGTTTTGCATCCCCGGTGGGTGGCATTTCATTCCCGAGAAGTTTATTTTCTCGTCGGGCATTAAATGGCCTCGCAGTCGCATCAAGTGCAAGATGGATGACGACGGCGTTCTGGGGAATCGCATTTGGGTTCCCATCTTCCACTGCTCCTCACTCCTCGAATTTCACTGGTCGGCAAATAAAACAACAAATAAACAATAGCGCTTTTTATGCAAAAAATCCCTATTCGAGAGTTCTGTAGAATCGCCTTTGAAGATCTGGTTCCCGAAAGTCCAAAAGTCTCGAATTAAAGCGGATTCTTCAAGTTTCCACAAACCATGGAATGCATTTTTTCTGTTTTAATTTTAATAGATTTTTCTTTTTATTTATTACCATGATATTAATATTAAATTAATGTTTATTTATGTTTTTATTTTTCTTGAACCCTTTTTAAACTTAAAATATTTTTTTTTACATTCAAAAAGTTTATAGCTTCTTGCAGTCTCTTTAATTTTTTATTTTTCCAGTTTCAGCGGAGAAAACCTAGATTTTTGTTCACTATTTTAATTGCTTTCTCGTTCCCATTCAATTAAATTTAATTTTGGAAATTTTCAAATGGGAAATTTAACGAGCTTCCGTCCCGTTTTAATATTTTTCGTACTTTAATGATTTAACACTTTGTGACCCACTGTGCCGCATTTCCACGGGCCGCCAGCATATGTTTTGTTCTTTTTACCCCTCCCCTTTCCCTTTTCCCTGCCGTTTTTTTTAATGTGTTTTTCCATTTCACACTTTATGGTGTTGCAGCTGGTTGGAAAAAGAGTGGAAAAATGAGAAGTGGAAGCAGAAGTAGAAGCATTTTCCACCGTTGCACATGTTTCGATTTGAATTTCCCTCCCTGCCAAAAGTGCATTGCCAATATTGTTGTCTCCCCCGTTTCGATGACTTTTCTCTCTATCTCTCTTTGGCTTCTCCTCCCGTTCGTCTTCACCTCCTCCACCCACTCTTCGTTGCTTTGCACATTTGCATCCGACACTTTTTGAAAACCGGACGCACTTTGTCACCGTCGCTGATCTTTAATGGTGCGTCCATATCGGTGTGTGTGTGAGTGATGAATATGCGGCGGTGCACTGCAAGAAATTGCCAGTAGGTAACTTTAATAAAACTGGAACTCGTAGTTTATTAACAACTTTCAAACGACAAGTATTGATCTTTTTTATATATCAATATTATATCACATTTGTACCATAATTACCACCTTATCAAATAAATTATTAATATTATATCGATGAATTTTTTAATTACAATATTTTTTTGTAATATTAATATATTATGCTGCCTTTTTTCCAATGATAGATCCTTAAACTAAAAATTCAAAACCAAACGATGAAAAAATCTCTACAAATTTCATTTAAAATATCTCTTAAACTAGATAGTGTTCATAATCCACATTATAATATGAATTATATCAATGTTATATGGAAAACATTTTTATTATAATTTCAACTTATTTAATTTTACATTAGTATGTTAAATATTTCAGAGTATTTAGTTTCTTTCAATAATAAATCCTTAAACTGAGGTTTTGAAACCAAATGATGGCAAAATCTCTACAGATTGAGGTCAAACAAAAATATCAATGCTATCAGGATATCCGTTTGGTTCTTGCGTTTCGCCCA